AAGCCAGTTGGGACAGAAAAGTCCCTAAGACTCTTATTTCCAATTAACTAGTAAAAAGCCTAAATTGGTAGAACACCAGTCTTGAGCAGAAAAAGGCAAGAATGCAAGGCTCTGAGTTCAAGATCTAGTACACAAGAACAAAAATGACATGCTGGGTGTCTCTGGTCATCTTTCAGAGAGGTTGGGCTAACATGAATGCCTCCCACCCACTCCGTGCACGGGCACACCTGCTCTGCCCCCTCTCCCTGCCAGCCACCTTCCACTGCACTCATGCGTTCAGTCACCAAACCAGAGGGTGGGGAGGAACTGGTAAGAGAACTGTGTTCTCAGGAATGAAATAAGGGTGGGAGATTAAGAGGCTGGCCTTGTGACTAACCTGGCAAAGGTGTTCCTGCCCACAGAGCCCGAGGAGGCCTTAGCCTGGCAGCCCCAGGCTTCACAAGGCAGTGACCACAACAAACAGTCCTGAGGCAGAGAGAGAGAGAGAGAGAGAGAGAGTGTGTGTGTGTGTGTGTGTGTGTGTGTGTGTGTGGCCCCATGCCCTGAGACTGGAGACTGCAAGGCTGTAAGGTTTGGGCTGTGGATCAGTAATAGAGGGCTTGAGCCTGTGGGTTTGGTCCCAGCATGGTGATGAGTGGATCAATCTTCATCATAGATATAGGTAGGCAGAGGCAGACAAACAGACAGGTAGATGAGATGAAAAAGACCTTGCACTGACTCTTTTTTTTTTTGGGTCCGGTCGTGGGGCCTGAACTCTGGGCCTGGGCACTGTCCCTCAGCTCTTCAGCTGAAGGCTAGTGCTCTACCGCTTGAGCCACAGTGCCACTTCCGGCTTTTTTGTTTTTGCTTATGTGGTGCTGAGGAATCGAACCCAGGGCCTCAGGCATGCAAGGCAAGCACTTTAACCACTGAGCCACCTTCCCAGCCCTGCACTGACTCTTGAGTCTCCCCTCCCAGCTCTTTTCACACTAGTTATTTTTAAGATAAGGCTTTTCTTTTTGCCTGCCCATCCTGAACCATGATCACCCTATTTTATACTTCCTACCATATCTAGGATGAAAAAGATACACAACACCCATAAGTTGGTTGTTTGGATCTCATTAACTTTTTTGCCTTTGCTATACTTAAACCACAGTTCTCTTGATCTCAGCCTTCTGAATAGGAAGGATTACAGATGTGAGCCTCTGCACCTGGTCAGTTTATCCATTTAAAAGGTACAAATCAGCTGGATGTCAGTGGCTCACACCTGTACTCCTAGCTACTTAGAGGCTGAGATCTGAGGATCACTGTTTGAAGCCAGCCCAGGCTGAAAAGTCCATGAAACCCTTATTGTCAAAAGGCTGGACATGGGGCTGGGAAGGTGGCTCAGTGGTAGACCACTTGCCTTGCATGCCTGAGGCCCTGGGTTGGATTCCTCAGCACCACATACGCAAAAAGAAAAAAGCCGGAAGTGGTGCTGTGGCTCAAGGGGAAAAGGCCAACCTTGAGCTGAAGAGCTGAGGGACAGCGCCCAGGCCCAGAGTTCAGGCCCCACGACCGGACCCCCCCCCCAAAAAAAAAAGGCTGGACATGAAGGTGTGGGTCAAGTGTAGAGTGCTAGCCTTGAGTGAAGAGGCAAAGTGAGAATGTGAGGCCCTAAGTTCAAGCTCCAATAGTGGTACTAAACAAATACATTACCAGGTGCTGGTGGCTCATTCCTATATATAATCCTGCTACTCAGTAGGCAAGCCAGCCCAGAGTGGGGGAGAGGGGGTGGCCAGGGAAGGTGGCTCAGTGGTAGAGTGCTTACCTTGCATTCACAAGGCCCTGGGTTCGATTCCTCAGCACCACATAAGCAGAAAAAGCCGGAAGTGGCATTGTGGCCCAAGTGGTAGAGTGCTAGCCATGAGCTGAAGAGCTGAGGGACAGCGCCCAGGCCCAGAGTTCAGGCTCATGACCACCACTAACAACAACAAAAGCCAGCCTGGCAGAAAAGTCCATGAGCGTCTTGGGGGGTCTGGTCGTGGGGCCTGAACTCTGGGCCTGGGCGCTGTCCCTCAGCTCTTCAGCTCAAGGCTAGTGCTCTACCACTTGAGCCACAGCGCCACTTCCGGCTTATGTGGTGTTGAGGAATCGAACCCAGGGCCTGATGCATGCAAGGCAAGCACTCTACCACTGAGCCACCTTCCCAGCCCATCCATGAGCGTCTTTTCTCCAACTAACAACCAGAAAACAGGAAGTGGTAGAATGCTTACCTTGAGCAAAAGAGCTCAGGGACAGTGTCCAGGTCCCGAGTTCAAGCCCCATGACTGACAGAAAACAAAACAAAATGTACATACATACATAAAGTGTACAAATCAACAGCTTTTCATATAATCATACAATTCTGATTCCAGCACTATAACCAATATTATTGTTTTCATTCCTCCTTAATCTGCTTCCTGTCTCCAAGAATTTGCCTCTTTTACATCTCCTATACCTAAAGTCATATAATGTGTGTTGTGTTGTGTGAAGCTTATCTCACTTAGCATGAGGTTCTAAAGATTTATTCCTATTAGGACGTGTGTGCTTAATAGGGGGTTTCATTATGAGGTTTTACATTTGTACAAATGTATTCCATTCATCCTCTCTCCCACTCATACCCGTCTCATACCTGCCTTGTCATTCCCTTTTTTTTTTGTTGTTGTTTTCTTTTCTTTTTGTGTTATGGAACTTGGGCTTGAACTCAAGGCCTAGGTGTTTTCCCATCATTTTTTCCACTTAAGGCTGGTGCTCTCTTTCTGCTAGTTAATTGGATTTTCCTTCCCCAGGCTGGCTTGCAACCTTGATCCTCAGATCTCAGCCTTTTGAGTAGCTAGGATTACAGGTGTGAACCCTCTGCGCCCAGCTTGTGATTCCTTTTTATTGCTGAATATTATTCCATTGAATGGGTAGCATATTTTAAAAATCCCTTCATGATGCATTTAGATTACTTCTGCCTGAATGGTCATTATCATGCTGCTTTTGTGGTGGGCATGTTTCCCCCTTCCTTCCCTCTCTCCCCTTCTCCTCTCCCTTTTATCTTTCTGGTTGTTTGAGTGGAATTGGGCTGTCATGTGGAATTGCTCTGTCCCATGGTAATTCTGTGTTTAGCTCTTTCTGCCTTGTATAACACTTCAGCCAGCCAGGGTGTGGTAGGCTTGGCTTTGAGTACCGGGCCTGCTATTTCCTGGCTGCTGATGGTGTTTGTCAAGAAATTTCTTTTTGTTCTTTAAGTCTAGGATCCTCATGGTGGACTAGGGAGTGGTCCCTCCTGTTGAATGTGATCACAAATTGCTATAGGGTGAAGGGCACGATGCCATCTTGACAAAGACTCCTAAGAGGCCAGGGCACTTTAGTGAATATCACTCTGTGTGTGTGTGTGTCTGTGTGTCTGTGTGTGTCTGTGTGTGTTGGGGCTTAAACTTAGGGTCTGGATCCTGTCCTGCAGTTTTTTTGTTTGTTTTTTGTTTTGCCAGTCCTGGGGCTTGAACTCAGGGCCTGGGTACTGTCCCTGAGCTTCTCTTGCTCAAGGCTAGCATTCTACCACTTGAGCCATAGTGCCATTTCGGGCTTTTTTGTTTATGTTATACTGAGGAATTTCATCCAGGGCTTCATGCATGTTAGGCAAGCGCTCTACCACTAAGCCACTTTGCCAGTCCTGGCCTATAGCTTTTTTATTCAAGGCTGACACTATGCCGTTTGAGCCACAGCTCTACTTCTGGCTTTTTGGTTGTTAACAGGAGCTATAAGTCTCACAGATTTTCTGCCCAGGCTGGCATTGAACCACAATCCTCAGATTTCAATATTCTAAGTAATTAGGATTACAGGTGTAAGCCATCGATGCCCAGCCCTTCAGATTTTAAATGTCATGCATACAGCAGTTGCATTTTCAAGAAAATAATGTGTCCTATTGAACTCTTGCACAAGGGTGTAAAGCTGAAGACAGGAAGGTGTTTTTAGTTCAGTACTGTTGGTCACAGGACCCGAGAAGTGAATCCCGTACTTAACCACATAAGAGCTGGAGAGATAACCTGGAGCACAGTTACACAACGGGTAGTTCAGCCCCAGAAAGGAAATGAGGTCAGTCAGGCAAGCTGTACACATGACCTGGAGAAGGGGAATCAAGCCAGGGGCTGGTAGCTCACTCCTGTAATCCTAGCTACTCAGGGCTGAAATCTGAGTATCAAAGTTTGAATCTCACCCCAAGCAGACAAGTCCAAGGGATTATTATTTCCAAATAACCAGCAAAAAGTTGGAAGGGGAGATGTGATTCAAATGGTAGAGTGCCAAGCTTGAGCAGAGAAAGCCAAGTAAAAGCATGAGGTCCTGAATTCAAGTCCCAGTACTGGCATAAAACCAAAAAAGAAAGGCCAGGGCTGGGAATGTGGCTTAGTGGTAGAGTGCTTGCCTAACATGTAGGAAGCCCTGGGTTCAATTCCTCAATGCCACATAAACAGAAAAAGCCAGAAGTGGGCCTGTGGCTCACATGGTAAGAGTGCTAGCCTTGAGCAAAAAGAAGCTCAGGGACATTGCCAGGCCCTGAGTTCAAGCCCCTGAACTAGCAAAAAAAAAAAAAAGGCCAGGTCCTGGTGGCTTATGTCTATAATCCTAGCTGTTCAAAAGGCTGAGATCTGAGGATTGTGGTTCAAAGCCAGCCTAGGCAGGAAAGTCCTTGAGACTCTTATCTCTGATAAACTAGAAAAACAAAATATCTGGAGGTGGAGCTGTGGTTCAAGTGGTAGATGATGCTAGCCTTGAACATAAAAGCACAATACAGCACCCAGGCCCTGAGTTCAAGTCCCAGGACTGGCACATATATATTAAAAAAGATAGATCTTTTCTGTCTCCAAGGGTTCCATGTCCCTGAAAGCCTCCAGGGACCGTAGCTGAAGATCCTTTCCTCTTCTGGAGGCTATGGGCCTCTCCAGGGAAGATTAGCAGGACAGAGGCAGTTGGGCCACACGTGGATCTAATGCTAATGTTCCCTTTACTTTCTCCAGGAAACCTGGAAGCATGCGATCGAGAAGGCCAAGCACATGCCTGACCCCTGGGCTGAGTTCCACCTTGAGGATATTGCCACAGAACGAGCATCCAGGCACAGGTTGGTGACTCATCTGGGGGCTTTGAAGAGTCCAGGGAGGCTCAGGTTCTGTTTCTGCTCATACCCAGGGAGGCTCAAGTCCCAGGGAGTCAAAGAGAAGGGGGTAGGTAATACAGGGCAAATAGCCCCAATCTGAAAACCTACATTTCGGATTTTGGAGCCTTTGGGGTTTTCTTTTTTTTTTTTTTTTCTTTTCTTTTTTTTTTTGTTGGTTGTGGGGCTTGAACTCTAGGCTTGGGCGCTGTCCCTTAGCTCTTCAGCTAAAGGCGAGTGTTCTACCATTTGAGCCACAGAGCCACTTCTGGTTTTCTGAGAGGTTTATTGGAGATAAGAGTCTCTCGGACTTTCCTGCCCTGGGCTGGCTTTGACCCACAATCCTCAGATCTCAGCCTCCTGAGTAGCTAGGATTATAGGCATGAGCCACTGGTGCCTGGCTACCTTTTGGATTTTGAAATTATGAATCTTTAGCCAGTCAAGTCCATACAAATACTACGAACATCTGGAAACATCTGAGATCTGAAATGCTTCTGGTTCGAAGCATTTTGGATAAGGGACACTCTACCTGTAATCACAGCGGCCAATGGACTGGGGTCCTGCTAGAGCATCTGCCTCGCAAGAGCAAGGCCCTGAGTACTGCCCAAGAAGGAATGGAAAGAGGGAAGAGCACCCACTGTTTGAGTGTTCATGAATGTGCCAGTACTATAGGTTATCTCACTGAGTCCTAATGGGGCCACAGGTACATATTAGACAGGTTAGGCTGACCTCTGCCCCAGTAACAGATACTCCCAGGATTCTGGGGGAGAGTTCAGGGCAGCTCAGGGAGGCATCTTCTGGCTCCATCATCTCAACCTGTAAATCACCAGGCACTGATGGCTCACACCTGTAATCCTAGCTACTCAGGAGACTGAAATCTGAGGGTTGAGGTTTGAGGTCAGCCTGGGCAGGAAAGTCCATAAGATTTTTTTTTTTTTTTTGGTGGGGGGTCCAGTCGTGGGGCCTGAACTCTGGGCCTGGGTGCTGTCCCTCAGCTCTTCAGCTCAAGGCTAGCGCTCTACCACTTGAGCCACAGCGCCACTTCCGGCTTTTTTCTTTTTGCTTATGTGGTGCTGAGGAATTGAACCCAGGGCCTCAGGCATGCAAGGCAAGCGCTCTACCACTGAGCCACCTTCCCAGCCCAAGTCCATAAGATTTTATTTCTAATAAACCACTCAGAAGAAGCTGGAAGTGGTTCTGTGGCTCAAGTGGTAGAATGCTAGCCTTGAACAAAAGAAGCTTAGGGACAGCACTTCGGCCATGAGTTCAAACTCCAGGACTGGAGTGGTGCGGGGAGGGGGGAGGTCAGAAATGGATTTATGGCTGAGGGACATGTTGAAAATGAACTATACAACTTGTGGGTAGGGATGGGAGAGAAAATTTTGCAGAGAGGGAGGGAAGGGGTGACATTGTCCACAAAGAAATGCACTTATTACCTAACTTATGTACATCACCTTTAGAGTAACAATAAAAAAAATTAAAAAGAAAAAAAAAAGCTAAGAGACAACACTCTGGCTCAGAGTTGAAGCTCCAGCACCAGCACAAAAAGCCCATAATAATAAATCACTGCTTGGGATAGCGGTCTGTAAGCACCTACACAGCTCTGGAGAGCCCTCCTCTGAGCCTGGGCCGGGCTACCTGCCAGGCCTCTGCTTGTTTCTTCTTGCACTTGCTTCCATAGCTGAGAAACCTGTTCTCACAGGGCTAGGAGTGTCCTGGAGTCTGCCCAGGCTGAGAAATGGGCCAAAGGAGGCCTCCAACCAGAGCTAAGAACAGCTGAGCCCAGTGCAGGCATTGGATCTTAGTGATTCCTGAGACCAGGAGCTTCCCCCAGATTGCCCCAAGGAATGGGAATGCCTGGAAAGGGGAGTACTCTAGAATTTTCTTAGAAAAGTGGCAGTATCCTGGGACATTCATTCATCTTTCACGTACCTTCTTTTCCTTCTCCTCCTCCTCTATCTCTCTCCCCCACTTTTTCTTTCTTCCCTCCTTCCTTCCCTCCTTCCTTCCTTCCTTCCTTCCTTTCCTTCCCTTCCTCCCTCCCTCCCTGCCACCTACCTTTCTTTCTTTCTTTCTTTCTTTCTTTCTTTCTTTCTTTCTTTCTTTCTTTCTTTCTTTCTTTCTTTCTTTCTGTCTGTCTCTCCCTCCCTCCCTCTCTGTGTCTTCCTCCTCCTCTTCCTCCTTCTCCTTCTGCTCGTTTTGTCCTTCCTTCTTTCTTCTTCCCAAGTGCCTGGCAGTGATGAGAGTACTATTGCCTCTTTTCTTGAGACTTGTTATTTGTTACATAGAACAGTTATAAGGATATTTGTTTATTCAGACATTTATCTGACATGCATTTGTTAGGATCTACATAGCCCTGCTGGGCGCCAGTAATTCACACATATAATCCTAACTACTCAGGAGGCTGAGATCTGAGGATCAAGGTTTGAAGCCAACTCAGGCAAGAGAGTATGTGAAATTCTTTTTTTTTTTTTTTTTGGGTCCGGTCATGGGGCCTGAACTCTGGGCCTGGGCGTTGTCCCTCAGCTCTTCAGCTCAAGGCTAGCACTCTACCACTTGAGCCACAGTGCCACTTCCGGCTTTTTTCTTTTTGCTTATGTGGTGCTAAGGAATTGAACCCAGGGCCTCAGGCATGCAAGGCAAGCGCTCTACCACTGAGCCACCTTCTTTTTTTTGTTTGTTTTTGTTTTTGTCGGTCATGGGGCTTGAACTCTAGGCCTGGCTGCTCTCCCTGAGCTCTTCAGCCCAAGGCGAGCACTCTACCACTTGAGCCACGGCGCCATTTCCTATGTGAGATTCTTAAATCCATTTAACTAGTAAAAAGCCAGAAGTAGAGCTGTGGCTCAAGTGATGGAGTGTTTAGCCTTGAGCAAAAAAACTTAAGAGACAGTAGGCAGGCCCTCAGTTCAAGTCCTAAAACCAGCACAAAAGAAAAAAATCTACACAGCCCTGTAACATCGCCTTGTGGAAGAGCCAGCTGCAGACAAGGCTAAGGGGACCCCAGAGGGTCTTTTAGCCACAGAGGGACAGAATTACATCATGATGCCGTACTCTGGGTGTGCTCTGGTCTCTGTAGATACAATGCTGTCACCGGGGAGTGGCTGGAAGATGAAGTTCTAATCAAGATGGCGTCTCAGGTAAGCAAGCCCTGATCCCCAAGTGCTCCTAGCCGGCTTCATTCCCTGTGCCCTCCCCTCCACATCCTTTCTAAGTTTCTTAAACTTAGGCATTCCTCATGCCACTTTTTTTTTCTTTTCACCAGTCCTGGGGCTCGAACTCAGAACCTGGATGCTGTTCCTGAGCTTTTTTTTTTTTTCTGCTCAAGGCTAGCTCTCTACCACTTGAGCTACAGCTCTACTTCTGGCTTTCTGGTGAGTCTAAGAGGCTCACAGACTTTCCTGACCAGGCTGGCTTTCTTGGTGATCCTCAGATCTCTTGCTTTCTGAGTAACTAGGATTACAGGCATGAGCCAAGGCCCAGCCAAAGAACAGATTCTTTTGTCTGTGTCATAACTTCAGACCTTTTAGTCCAAGGTGGCTTGGCCTGTTACTTTGGGCTGGTCGCAGTACTGCACATCATGGCAGGAGCCATGGTGGAGGATGTGGACAGGAAGTAAAGGGGTTGCGGGGGTAGGGGTGGGGATGGGGGTGAGGAGGTAGGGTCTTAACATCCTTCTCATGACCCTCGTGACCTGACTTGTTTCCACCTCAAGTTCTCACTTCCAAGCACACCCTACTTTGACAACAGTGTCTCTCCCAGCTTTTGGGAGCTATTCAGGAGCCAAACTATAGAAGTTGGGTGCAGTGGTGCTACACACCTATAGTAGCAGTCCCCACAGTTAGGCCAGAGAATTGCTTGAGTCCAGTAGTTCCTGGCCAGCCTGGCAACATAGTGGGAGCCCCCATCTCAAAAAAGTAAAGCGAAGCCGGGTGCTGGTGTCTCATACCTGTAATCCAAGCAATTCAAGAGGCTGAGATCTTAAAATTGTAGGTTAAAGCTAGCCTGGACAGAAAAGTCTGTGAGGCTCTTATCTCCAGTTCAGTAGAAAAATACCCGAAGTGGAGGTGTGGCTCAAGTGGTAGAGTGCTGGCCTTGGGCAAAAAGAGCCAAGTGAGGGGCTGGGAAGGCATGCCTGAGGCCCTGGGTTCAATTCCTCAGCACCACATAAGCAAAAAGAAAAAAGCTGGAAGTGGCGCTGTGGCTCAAGTGGTAGAGCACTAGCCTTGAGCTGAAGAGCTGAGGGACAGTGCCCAGGCCCAGAGTTCAGGCCCCACAACCGGACCCAAAAAAAAAAAAAAAAAGAGACAAGTGAAAACAAAGACCCAGACCGAGAATGTGGCTTAGTGGTAGAGTGCTTGGCTAGCATACATAAAATTCTGGATTTCATTCCTCAGTCCCACATACACAAAAAAAGCTGGATGTAGCACTGTGGATCAAGTGATAGTGCTAGCCTTGAGCAAAAAAGGCTCAGGGGCTGGGTGCCGGTGGCTCACGCCTGTCATCCTAGCTACTCAGGAGGTTGAGATCTGAGGATCTCGGTTCAGAGCCAGCCCCAGCAGGAAAGTCCATGAGACTCTTATCTCTAATAAAGCACTAGAACACCAGAAGTGGTGATGTAGCTCAAGCAGTAGAGCGCTCGTCTTGAGCTGAAGAGCTGAGGGACAGCACTCAGGCCCAGAGTTTAAGCCCCACGACTGGGGGAAAAAAAACAGGGAGGCTCAGGGACAGTGCCCAGACCCTTAATTCAAGCCCCTGGACTGGCAAAAAAAGAAAAAGAAAAAGGAAAAAATTGAAGACCCTGAATTCAAACCCAGGACAGGCACAAAACTAAACAAACAAATTAATTAAAACAATAATGATCCAGGGCCAGGAATGTGGCTTAGTGGTAGAGTGCTTGCCTAATACACATGAAGTATAAGGTTCAATTCCTCAGTACCACATAAGCAGAAAAGGCCAGAAGTGGTGGTGTAGCTCAAGTGGTAGAGCAAAAGCTCAGGGACAGTGCCCAGATCCTGAGTTCAAGCTCCAGGACTGGCAAAAAAAAAAAAAATCCCAATGACAGCAGACAGGGTCACAGTATACTATATGTCTAGACTGTTCTTGAGTCCTAGGCTAAAGTGATCCTTTTGCCTCAAGCCTCCAATGTAGCTGGGACTTCAGTTACACACCACTGCTCCAAGCTTCATTTCCATCCACCTTTCAGGGTTTCTGTTTTGTTTTTACCACATTGGGGATTGAATTTAAGGGCCTTGTGCTTGCTCAGCAAGCACTGTCTGAGCCACACCCCCAGTCTTGTTTTTAGTTCATTTGTAGATAGGATCTTTCAGATAAGGTGCTCCAGACAGCCTTGTCATGTTCCTACAAATGCCTTCCAAGTAGCCGAGATGACAGGTATGCGCTACCAATGTGCCTTTCCTTTCTACTTTCTGTTACTCAGGGCGGGGTACCTTAACTCCTCCCCCCCCCCCAGCGTCCTGGCTCCCTGGGTTACAGTAGAAGAATAGAGGGTCCTTCTTTTTCCAGGAGCCTGTGTGCATTGGCCCAGCAGCACCAGATGGAGGGTCCAGAGTGTTAACATTGAGATGAGGTCCAGTGCTCACCTGTTGCATGGATGATGTTGATGGGGAGCAGTAGGAATGGGACCTGATGATTATCTGTGTCCTGTCTTTCAGCCCTTCGGTCGTGGAGCCATGAGAGAGTGCTTCAGGACGTAAGTGACTCAGTCCAGTGCGTGGGGCCCTGCCCAGGCTCCATCAGGTTCCTAAGTCCTGGGACATTTGGATATCACCAGCCAAAACCTAGAGACAGTAGCCTCTGACTTCTTGCAGCCCAAGTTCCTGTCCATCTGGTCACTGCTGAACCAGCTTTGGGGCCCAGCTATAGACAAGTTGCAGGAAGATGGAAAATATCCATTCATTTTTTTTGCCGGTCGTGGGGCTTGAACTCTGGGCCTGAGCGCTGTCCCTCAGCTCTTCAGCTCAAGGCTAGTGCTCTACCACTTGAGCTACAGCGCCACTTCTGGTTTTCTGGTGGTTATTGGAGATAAGAGTTCACGGACTTTCCTGCCTGGGCTGACTTCAAACCACGATCCTCAGATCTCAGCCTCCTGAGTAGCTAGGATTACAGGCGTGAGCCACTGGCGCCCAGCGGGAAAATATCCATTCTTAGCCTACTCTGTCCTACTCTAGTGTTTGGAGGTCAAGAAAAGAGGAGACCTTTAACAATGACCTTTACCAAGCCAGGTGCTAGTGATTTAGGTCTATAATCCCAGCTACTTAGGAGGCTGAGATCTGAGGATCCAGGTTCAAAGCCAAACCAGGCAGGAAAGTCCATTTAAGTCTCCAATTAATCATCAGAAAACCAGAAGTGGAGCCGTGGCTCAAAGTGGTAGAACACTAGCCTTGAGCAAAAAGATCTCACAAACAGTGCTCAGGCCCTGTGTTCAAACCCCATGACTGACACCTTCCCCCAGAAAAAAAATCCCACCATTACCACCAAAAAGAATTAAATGGCTTCTAACCCTGTTCCCAGCCCTTTGAAGGGCACAGTGGGATAGAGGTCCCTCCTGCCTCCTGCATTTTGTTCTTGCAGCCAGCCAAGTCAGGCAGGGTCAGGATATCTTGAGGCCCCAACCTAGATTCCTAGTAAACCCCGGAGTTCCATATGGTCTTCCTCCTGCTTTACCCCCAGAAAGAAGCTCTCCAACTTCCTGCATGCCCAGCAGTGGAAGGGAGCCTCTAACTACGTGGCCAAGCGCTACATCCAGCCTGTGGACCGGGATGTGTACTTTGAGGACGTGCGTCTGCAGATGGAAGCCAAGCTTTGGGGGGAAGAATATAATCGGCATAAGCCCCCCAAACAGGTGTGTGCCACCCCACCTGCCTCCCTTCCCCACAGTGCAGCCAAGGGCAGTGTCTGGATCTGATGAGGTTAATGGTACTAGCCATGAATTTCAGGGTCTCGGCTTCACCTTCTTACCAGTGGCCAGTGACAGCTAGCATTTGTTGGTGGTAGTGGTCATGGGGCTTGAACTCAGGGCCTGGGCACTGTCCCTCAGCTCAAGGCCAGTGCTTTACCACTTGAGCCACAGCACCACTTCCAGTTTTTTTGCCATTTATTGGACATAAGAGTCTCATGGACTTTCCTGCCCAGGCTGGCTTTGAACTGTGATCCTCAGATCTCAGCCTCCATAGTAGTTAGGATTACAGGCATGAGCCACTGGCGCCTGGCAACAGTAAGCGTTTATTGGGCACAAAGAACCATGTACTCTAGATGAAGAATTATTTATTCTAAAACACAGAGCTTTGAGATTGGAATCTTTACATCCATGTGCAGATGAGATCTGTTTGGATTTTTGTTTGTAAAAAACAGAAACCCACACAGAGTAGCTTAATCTACAAAGAGAATTTAAGCTACTCTGGAGGTTGAGCTCTGAGGATCAAGGTTCAAAGCCAGCCCAGGCAGAAAAGTCCATTCGATTTTTATCTCTAGTTAACCAGTGAAAAGCTGAGGAAGTAGAGCTGTAGCTCAAGTGGTAGAGCACCAGTCACTTGAGCTGAAAAAGCCAAGGAAGACTTAATTAAACCAGAATGCTACATCTGGGATAATTATGCAGAAAAGGGGAAAGCAAGCTTGTTTGTTTGTTTATAATGGCCACGCATGTTTACTATTAAGCTAAGAAAGGCAAAACATTATCAAAAAGTATTTCCTTATTTTTTTTAGTAGAATATGATCATTGTTTTAATTCTTTTAATTCAATTGCAAAAAATCAGTGACAATAACTCTCTGTAATATATCTTTTCATTATGTCCAAGTGTAAGGTAAATAACATTTGGATAGTATTCAAAATACATGATTAAAAGCAAGCAATAAAATTGGTGAAAATTTTGGAATTTTATATTGAAGATTAAAATCTATAATGCAAAAATATATTGTACAAGTCAACAAGATTAATAATCAATAGAAAGAGATGGGCAAAAACTAGGTAGTTAAGTTATAGAAAACACTATTTGAATTCAGAATAAACATACAAAAATGCTCTTATCAGAAAATCCAGATATACAATTATGAGCAATAAAATATCTGTCTTGGCTACCAGAATTGCAAGTGAATTAGAATTAAAAAAAAATCATTAGTAATGTTAGATTAAGGCGTAGAGGGGCAAGATCTTGTTCAGAACTCTGTCAAGCAATTTTTTTCCTTTTTTTTTTGGGTCCAGTTGGGCCTGAACTCTGGGCCTGGGCGCTGTCCCTCAGCTCTTCAGCTCAAGGCTAGCGCTCTACCACTGGAGCCACAGCGCCACTTCCGGCTATTTCTGTTTATGTGGTGGCGAGGATTCGAACCCAGGGCCTCATCCTTGCAAGGCATGCACTCTCCTGCTGAGCTACCTTCCCAGCCCCCTTTTTTTCCTTTTTTTAAGTATTTAATTATTTTTTTATTGTGATTAAGTGATTATATAATTTCCCAAATTTCACAGTATTGTGGGATAGTGATGCTCAGTTAAAGTCACAAACACATTCTAACTTTCCTTTTTTCCTTATTTTTAATAAGCCTGATTGAATTATCTCTAATTATAAGAAGTAATGGCATGGGCTGGGAAGGTGGCTCAGTGGTAGAGCGCTTGCCTTGCATGCATGAGGCCCTGGGTTCGATTCCTCAGCACCACATAAGCAAAAAGAAAAAAGCCTGGTAGAGCGCTAGCCTTGAGCTGAAGAGCTGAGGGACAGCGCCCCCAGGCCCAGAGTTCAGGCCCCACGACCGGACCCCCCCCCCAAAAAAAAAAAAAGAAGTAATGGCAGCCAGGAGCTGGTAATTCATTCACTCTTGTAATTCTCACTATTCACAAAGCTAAGATTGGAGGATCTCAGTTTGAAGCCAGCCCAGGGAAGAAAGGCTATGAGACTCTTACCTCCAATAATCTACCAAAAAAAAAAAAAAAAAGCCAGAAGTGGAGCAGGTAGTTAAACAAAAAGAAGTTCAGGGACAGTGTCCGGGTCTTTATTTCAAGCCCCAGGACTGGCACCCAAAAAAAAAGAAAAAAGAAAAGAAAGAAAGAAAAGCATCAATTTCCATTAAAACACATTAATAAGATTTTTAACTCTCCATGTCATTACTAACTTAAGAGCCAGTTGGGCATAACTTCAAAACATTTTCATGGGGCTGGGAAGGTGGCTCAGTGGTAGAGTGTTTGCTTTGCATCCATGAGGTCATAGGTTTGATTCCTCAGCACCACATGAGCAGAAAAAGCTGGAAGTGGAGCTGTGGCTCAAGTGGTAGAGCGCTAGCCTTGAGCTGAAGAGCTGAGGAACAGTGCCCAGGCCCAGAGTTTGGGCCCCATGACGGACACACACACACACACACACACATGCACACACAAATTCACATGAAAGAAACTCTCCTAGGGTGCTAGTGGCTCACACCTATAATCTTCCTTACTCAAGAGACTAAGATCTGAGGCTCATAGTTTGAAGTCAGCACAGGCAGGAAAACTCTGAGAGATTTTTTTTTTCTTGTTGGTCGTGGGGCTTGAACTCTGGGCTTGGGTGCTGTCCCTGCCCTCTTCAGCTCAAGGCGAGTGCTTTACCGCTTGAGCCACAGTGCCACTTCCAGTTTTCTAGTGGTTTATTGAAGATAAGAGTCTCACAGAGTTTCCTTCCCCGGGCGGGCTTTGAACCACGATCCTCAGATCTCAGCCTCCTGAGTAGCTAAGATTACTACTGTGTGCCTCTGGTGCCCCACAAGTCTGAAAGATTCCTATCTCTAGTTGACCACAAAAAGCTATAAGTGGAGCTATGGCTCAAGTGGTAAAGTGAGAGTCTTGAGCAAAAGCTCAGAGACATCATCCAGACCCTGAATCAGTACCAAACAAATAAACAAAAAATTAAACATGGACTGGGAATGTGGCTTAGTGGTAGAGTGTTTGCCTTGCTTGTACAAAGCCCTGGGTTCCATTCCTTAGTATCACATAAACAGAAAAAGCTGGAAGTATTTCTGTGGCTCAAGTAGAATGCTAGCCTTGCAATGCCCAATAAGAAGTGTACCCATTACCTTACTCATGTAACTGTAACCCTCTGTATAGTATCTTTACAATAAAAAAAAAAGAATGCTAGCCTAAAAGAAGCTCAGGGATAGTACCCAGGCTTGAGTTCAGGCCCCAGGACTGGCCAAAAAAAACAAAAACAAGATTACTTGAACTAAAGGTAAATTCAGGAAATATGATAAAGCAGAATGTGAAGGAGAAAGAAGAATAGTGTGAAGCTCAGGTATAAAAGACTCAAAATTAAAAGCTGGGCACCGGTGGCTCATGCCTGTAATCCTGGCTATTCAGGAGGCTGAGATCTGAGGATCACAGGTCAAAGCCATTCTAGACAGGAAAGTCTATGAGGCTCTTCTCTCCAATTAACCACCAGAAAACCGGAAGTGGCACTGTGGCTCAAAGTACTAGAGCACTCGCCTTGAGCTGAATAGCTCAGGGACGGCACTCAATCCCCACAACTGACAAAAAGGACTGAAAATGGGATAAACCTTACTAGAAAGCTCAAGGCTTTGATTGCTGAGCAGAGAAGATGCTGGACTGACCCTGCTTAAAGGCACAGAAGCCTGGTAGGCTTGGGAAGGTCCCAGATGGGTTTCCTCAGGCCCCTCCACAGTATCCGGAGTGAGGGAGGCGTCCATGGCATCAGCCTCTCAGAGGGTTCACCATGTGCCACAGTGAAGCCTGTGTGTCATGGCCAGTTGCCAGTGCCTCCAGTCTGATAATGAATACAAAGCACATAGGGAGACCTGTGCTGGAGGAAGGGCTGGGCACCATTTACTGATGGCTTTGTGCCTAGCTTCTGATATTTGGGCCCATTCCATCTCTTTACAGGAAGGCTATAATCCAGCATCCCTTCCATCTGGGAGCCCTGTGCTCCCAGAAAAAAAAATAAAAAGAAAAGAAAAATCAAATCTTGATTGAATACGTTCAATTTTTCCACTAAAAAAAAAAAAAAAAAGCCAAGTAAGGATGTAAGGCCCTGAGTTCAAGTCCCAGTATCAGCACAAAACAAAAAACAAAAGATAATTTAGTTGTCTCATGCACCTGAAAAATAGATCCAACTATAGGCATCTTGGCCAAACTGAAGTTTTTTAAATAAACATTTCTTATCTCTGGCCTGGGTGTTCTTTGATGTTGATGTCACAGACAGGCATCTTCTTCACCTATAATGACATTTGCCTGGCAAGCTGCAGGCTCATTTTCTGTCTTCTCTTCCTAGGTAGAATAACACCTTTTCCCCAGAAGTTCCAATGAAAGTCTCAGAACTAGATTTCATTGGCTTCCATTAGGGCAGATGTCTGAGCCAATCACAATGTCCAGAGGGCAGGACTTGCTGATTGGTCTCTGCATTGAGCTATTATGCCCCCTCTTGAGGCTAGGATTAGGAGGTGGGGTATTCTACCCCTAGACAACATGGACTAGGTATCACCCTAGCAAAAGCAAGAAAGGGGTATGGACATGTTGGCTCCCTGAGAATCATGGAGCTCTGTGAGGTTCAGTGACTTTCCCAGCTAGGCAGGGGTGGAGCCAAGGCTCAAATCCAGAGTTCCTCATCCTCTTTCAGGTTGGTTATTTCACTTAAGTGCCTAGAGTCTTTCATGACTCTGCCAGGCAGAATTTACTGTTGCTTGCAGATATCTGAAGTAACATTGTAGCTCATGCCTGTAACTACCCACTCAGGAGGCTGAGATCTAAGGATCATTGTTCAAAGCCAGCCCAAGCAGGAGAATCTTTGAGATTCTTCAGTGATCCACCAAAAAGCTGGTAATGGGCTGGGAATGTGGCTTAGTGGCAGAGTGCTTGCCTAGCATGCATGAATCCCTGAGTTCGATTCTTTAGTACCACATAAACAGAAAAGCCGGAAGTGGTGCTGCAGCTCAAGTGGTTGAGTCCTAGCGTTGAGCAAAAAAGATGCTCAGGGACAGTGTCCAGGTCCTGAGTTCAAGTCCCAGGACTGGCAAAAAAAGCTGTCAGTGGAGTTTTGGCTCAAATGGTAGAGCACCAGCCTTGTGCAAAAGTGCTCAGGGACAGTATCCAGGCCCTGAGTTCAAGCCCCATGACCGACAAAAAAAAAAAAAAAGTCAGGAAAGAATATCAAAGTTCATAATTACCCATTGCAGGGAGAGATCCATTATCTACAGGTTGAGATGAGTAAAACTCTCTACTTAGAATGACATTCCAAACTTTAACAGACTACTTCATGAATCAGCACATTTAATCTTTGGGCTAATCTGAGACCCTTTTTCTGTAGGTGGGGAAACTGAGGCACAGAGAGGTATAATAAACTGCCCAAATTCACAGTATTAGTGTAAGTCATAGGCTGAGTGGCTAGCAAACAGAGTATATACTGAGACAAGTGGTTTCTTTCTTATTCATGGTAGGCCAGTACCTTGTGCCCTTGAGGTCATTGTGTAGTCTGGTCTCTTCTACCATGTTGCTCTGAACCCTCTGAGGTTGTTGAGAACCATGAAGGGAGTTCTGGCTCCTAAGCAGAGACTGCTTGGCAGGACAGGCTGCAGATATGGCATTGATGCTGCTTGCTTCTCATTGGCCATTGTGGTCATGTGACCACACCTAGCTGCAAGGGAGGCTGAACAATGTGATTCATTTTATGCTGCTGTGTATCCTGTTAAAACTCAGGGCTCAGGGTTTTTGTTTTTGGGTTTTTTTGGGTCCGGTTGTGGGGCCTGAACTCTAAGCTTGGGCGCTGTCCCTCAGCTCTTCAGCTCAAGGCTAGTGTGCTCTACCACTTGAGCCACAGCACCACTTCTGACTTTTTTCTTTTTGCTTATGTGGTGCTGAGGAATTGAATCCAGGGCCTTGAGCATGCAAGGCAAATGCTCTACCCCTGAGCCACCTTCCCAGCCCCCTGGGGCTCAGGGTTTTTAAAAGGTGACAGGGAGGAGAGAGTGAATTTAAGGGACAGTCAGCCACAGAAAGCTAGTTAAGGATAGAGCCAGGATCTGAGCCCAGACAGGGTGACATGGGCCCTGCCCCTCCATTTAACCTTGCTCCCTACCCTTTCACCAGGTGGACATCATGCAGATGTGCATTGTGGAGCTGAAGGAAAGGCCAGGCCAGCCCCTTTTCCACCTAGAGCACTACATCGAGGGCAAGTACATCAAATACAATTCCAACTCAGGCTTTGTCCGTGATGACAACATCCGTCTGACACCGCAGGTGAGGAACTGGGCTTGCTCTGCCCACTGCGGAGGAGGAGGATGCCTATGGAATGGGGTCTCACATCTCCTGAGACTCCTTGAGCCCCTTGGAGCATTGAGATCTTAGGTCTCAATGGACTCAAGATGGTCACATGCCTGCGTCCCCAAGGTCCCTGCAAAATTGGACAGATCTCCAGTCTTTGTCTTGTGGAGAAAGCACCTCAACATAGACAGCTCTGGAGTGTTTTAATCTCCAGCAGTGGCTAGCCTGAGTCTGCATAGCCCATAGCTTGATCTCCCCCACCACCTCTCTCCATGCTAGTTCTGGGTCTTGAACGCAGGACCTGGGTGCCATCCCTTAGCTTTTTTGCTCAAGCCTGGCACTCTACCACTTGAACCACAGCTCTACTTCTGGCATTTTTGTTGTGAATTGGAGATAAGAGTCTCCTGAGAAGCTAGGATTAAAGGCGTGAGCCACTAGTATCTGGCTTACCTGGTCTCTTACTGCCACCTCTTTCTTCCTAACCCACCACAGGCCTTCAGCCACTTCACCTTTGAACGTTCTGGCCATCAGCTGATTGTTGTGGACATCCAGGGTGTGGGTGACCTCTATACTGACCCCCAGATCCACACTGAGATGGGCACTGACTTCGGAGACGGCAACCTTGGTAAGTGGGGGAAGCCAGCCGGCTTGCATGGACACCATGCTCTTCCCTCTCCCTCGCCTAAAACCTACAAGATCTTTGTACACTTAAGGAAGCATGCTGAGACAGTGCATGGGCCTTCCCAAATGCACCCATGTGGGATCCTGCAAAGTCTCACCCCCCTGTTCCAACTCAGTATGATTTTCACCACCTGCGGTCATGAGTCTACCACATAGCTCCAGGTCCTCCATCACTGTATCCGACAGCAGTCCTAACACTCCTGCTCTGTCCACAGGTGTTCGAGGGATGGCTCTTTTCTTCAGCTCTCATGCCTGCAACCGGATTTGTAAGAGCATGGGCCTTACTCCTTTTGACCTCTCACCACAGGAACAGGATGCAGTAAATCAGAACACCAAGCTGCTGGTGGGTACCCTGTGTTGCCCACTTGAACTGGATGGCCCTTTCTTTTTTTTTGTCCATCATGGGGCTTGAACTCAGGGCCTGGACACTGTCCCTGAGCTGTTTTTGATCAAGGCCAGCACTCTCCCACCTGAACAACAGTTCCACTTCCAAATTTCTGGTGGTTACTTGGAGACAGGAGTCTCACCAACTTTTTCTGCCTAGGCTGGCTTCAAACAGCGATCCTCAGATCTCAACCTCTTGAGTAGTTAAAATTACAAGTGTGAGCCACCAGATGGCTGGCCCTTTTGCCATCTACACAGTAAACCCCACTTCCCTGTGGGATGTGGCAGCTCAGTAGCACTTAACTAATTACAGGGCTTAGCTGGGTGCCAGTGACTCTTGCCTGTAATTCTAACTCTCAGGAGGTTGAGATCTAAGGATCCCCCAACCAGTGGAGTGCTGCTTGAATTGAACCTATTCATGACTAGAATGAGGAAAACAGGCAAGTAGAAAATTGGGAGGAGAGTTGGGTGCGGTGGCTCACCCTGATAATCCTTAACTGCACAGGAGGCTGAGATCTAAGGATCATAGTTCATCGCTAACCTGGGCAGAAAAGTCTATGAAATTCTTATCTCCAGTTAACTGCCAAGAGCCAGAGGTGGAAGTATGGCTCAAGTAGTAGAGCATCAGCCTTGAGCAGAAGCAGCCAAGGGAGAGTGGGAGGTCCTGAGTCTAAGCCCCAGGACTAGTATACACACAAAAATTAGTAAGTAAATAGGCTGGGAAGGTGGCTCAGTGGTAGAGCGCTTGCCTTGCATGCTCGAGGCCCTGGGTTCAATTCCTCAGCACCACATAAGCAAAAAGAAAAAAGCCGGAAGTGGCGATGTGGCTCAAGTGGTAGAGCGCTAGCCTTGAGCTGAAGAGCTGAGGGACAGTGCCCAGGCCCAGAGTTCAGGCCCCACGACCGGACCCAAAAAATAAATAAAAATAAAAAAAATTAATAAGTAAATAAAGAAAAGCAGGAGGAGTTGTGTGATATGTGTTTGTGTGGTATGTTGACAAATGAGTAGACTAGATATAGTCCTAGCCTTCTATATACACTGTGAGAAGGATGGGACCATCCTCCCACACCACAGATTTGGGACAATATTGGCAAGACCATCTGGGGACCCTGGTTATTTTTTGGCACTTTAGGAAGTGGTGGACGCAGGCACATAATCTTCCAGGGCTGGGAAGTTGGCTCAGTGGTAGAGCGCTTGCCTTGCATGCCTGAGGCCCTGGGTTCGATTCCTCAGCACCACATAAGCAAAAAGAAAAAAGCTGGAAGTGGCACTGTGGCTCAAGTGGTAAAGCACTAGCCTTGAGCTGAAGAGCTGAGGGACAGCGCTCAGGCCCAGAGTTCAGGCCCCATGACTGGACCCCCCCCAAAAAAAAAAAATCTTCCATTGATTTCTTTTTTCTTTTTTTGTGCCAGTACTAGGGCTTAAACTCAGGATCTGAGTTTTATTTGCTCAAGGCTAGTGCTGCTGGGTGCTGGTGGCTCAGGCCTGTAATCCTAGCTACTCAGGAGACAGAGATCTGAAGATACAGTTCAAAGCCAGCCTGGGCAGGAAAGTCTGTGAGCCTTCCAATTAATCACCAGAAAGCCAGAAGTGGCGCTGTGGCTCAAGTTGGTAGAGTGCTCACCTTGAGCTTCTGAAGAGCTCAAGGATAGCACTCTACCACTTGAGCCACCACTTGAGTCACTGCTCCATTTGTAGCTTTTTGGTAGTTAATTGGTAATAAAGAGTCTCAGACTTTCCTGCTTGGGCTGGCTTCAAACTGGGATCATTACATCTCAGCCACCTGGTTACAGGCATGAGACACTACCTCCAGGCAACTTTTTTTTTTTTATTATTGTTTATTTATTATAAGATTTTCTTTTGGGCTAGTGCAAGCCTCTTGTGTGAAAGGGCTTAAGGGCAGAGGGAACACTATAGATGGAGCACCCCAGAGAGAGCCTGTGTGACCTGAATATTCTTGTTAATGTCCCCAGCAATCAGCCAAAACCATCTTGAGAGGTACAGAGGAAAAGTGTGGGAGCCCCCGAGTAAGGACTCTCTCTAGCAGCCGGCCCCCCTTGCTCCCTCGCCTTTCAGAGAACTCTGGGGATGACAACATGAGTGACGTGACCTTCGACTCTCTCCCTTCCTCCCCGTCTTCTGCCACACCAAGTCAGAAACTGGATCACCTCCGTGAGTGATGGTTTGGCCACTGGACAGTGGGATGGGGACAAGCATCAGGTAGAACAGAGCTAAGCTGTCTTTCCAGTTTAGGAAATCATAATATGGTAGCCAAGAAGTTTCACACTCTAGCTGGTTTGTTACAGGTGAGTTCTTTGAATGAACTGTTAAAATGCAGGTCATCCAAATGTCATAAAAATATTCTCCATTATAGAAATTAGATAACATTTTTCAGTCTCATGAAACTAGCAAAACCTTTATACCAAACTTAGACAAAAAGAAAATTTTTTCCCAATCTCACTTTTTGTATACGCAATGTAAAAATTCAGAATAAAGTATTCACAATAAATATTAATAGGAAGGCATAGTTGAATGTGAAGATTGTTTAACATAGCTAGGTGCCAGTGGCTCACACCTATAATCCTAGTTACTAAGGAGACTGAGATCTGAGGATTGCAGTTCCAACCCAGCTGGAGCAGGAAAAGTCCATGAGATTTTCATCTCTTATTAACCAGCAGAAAGCTGGAAATGAGCTATGGCTTCAGAAAAAAACAAAAAAAAATCTCCAGGATAGCACTCAGGCCCTGAGTTCAAGTCCCAGGACTGGCACAACTATCAACACAAAACAAAGTTTGTTTGACATAAAGAGAAGGCTAGGCTGAGACTGACTCAGGAATTGTTGGTTATTTATTCAGCTGGGAGAGGCTGTGAGCAACCAGACTCAGTGCAGCAGAGGGAGATTTTAACATCAAACTGTTAAAGTAGCCTTTTAATTAGATGTCTCCCCCAGGAGACCTTTGGACTAGCTCAGAGTTGCATGTCAACAGACTTTTTCCTGAAAGGTCAGAGAATAAATGTCTTAAGTTATAAGCCATGTGGTGTCTATGTTAGCAATTTGAAAGCAACCAGAGAATATTTGAATGAATAATCATGGCTGTGTTCCAAGAAAAGTTCTGTTTACAGATACTGAAATTTAGGTTTTGTATAGCATTCAGATATCAAAATATTTTTCTTTTGATTTTTTCAACTATTTGCTAATGGAAAAACAATTCTTTACACACACACACACACACACACGAGCTTTGAACGCAGGGCCTCATGGTCTCTCAGCTTTCTTGCTCACAGCTGGACTTCTACCATTTGAACCTTACCTGTAGTGTAGCTCTCTTGGTTAATTGGAGATGGGGTCGTATGGACTTTTATGCCTGGGCTGGCTTCGAATCTCAATCCTCTGCATCTCAGCTTCCTGAGGAGCTAAGGTTGTAGGTATGAGACACTGGGGCCCAGCTTATAATTTTTTTTTTAATAAACTTGTCCGCACGTGCACGTGTGTGTGTGTGTGTGTGTGTGTGTGTGTGTGAAGGGCTTGGACCTCAGGCTATGGATAAAAGGGATGACATTGATCAAGATGCATTGTACACATAACCTGATTTATGGAATTAAAGCCTCTTTGTACAACTACTTAATAATTAAAAAAAATAAATTAAAAAATGAAAAGGAAAACCAGGCACTAGTGGCTTATGCCTGTCTGTAATAGTTACTCAGGAGGCTGAGAGCTGAGGATTACAGTTCAAAGCCCACCTAGGCAAGAAAATACATGTAATCACCAACTACAAGTACAAGTAACCACCAAAAAGCCAGAAGTGGAGCTATGATTGAAGTGGTAGAGTGTTAGCCTTTGAGCACAGGAGCTCAGAAATAGTACCCAGGCCCTAAGTTCAAGCCCTGGAACTGGCACGAAAAAAAAAGGCTGAGGGTAGAATGCCTCCCTGTGTGCAGGGACCTGAGTTCAAATCCCAGACAGGAAGGAGAGGAAAGAAAAAGAGGGAAGAACAGCCAGGTGCTGGTGGCTCACACCTGTAATCCTAGCCACTCAGGAGGCTGAGATCTGAGGATCACGGTTTGAAGCCAGTCCGAGCAGAAAGTCTGTGAGATTCTTATCTCCAGTTAACCACCCCAAACCAGAAATGGACTTGTGTTTCAAAGTGATAGAGCAATAGCCTTGAGCACAAAAGCTCATGGACAGCACCTGAGTTCGAGCCCCATTATTGACATCCCCCACTCCCATCCCACCCCAAAAAAAGGAAGGGAAATAAAGTTTTGAAGGAGATGTTGTCTGTTGTAGGCCATGGGTTGCTCTTTTGAGTGTTCGAGCCATGGAGTCAATGCATTATCTCTCTCCCTGCTCAGACTGGCCAGTGTTTGGTGACCTTGATAACATGGTGCACAGAGATCCTGACCATTTGGACAACCACCGGGTGAGTAGAAGGGCCTGGGGGCTCTACTCTCCCACAGAGTAACTCCGAATGGCAACCAGCCCCACATGGGCAACCAGCTTAGGTCTGCTCTGGGCACTGCCAGGAGGATGTGGAAGGGGCGGGGAGAGGCGGGTGAATCTCAGCCAGCTGTTTAAGCAGATGTTCCTGCTGAGAAAAGCTGAGTCTGTTGCAGTTCCCAGACATGGTTAGGGAAGGAGGATTCCAAATCAGCCACGGGATGACCTTCTAGTCAGTGCCAGGCTGGGTCTGGGTTAGGTTTTGTTATACATATGGATGGTTGACTGCTGTGGTCCTAATGCTGAGAATGCAGAGCACAGGGGCCATGAGGCTCTGGCCACGACTGGATGAAGAGTGCTTTCTGAGCTTCAGTGGATACAGAGAGAAACTAACGGCATCAGGTTTGCTTTTACCCAAACATGTATGTAGAGTCAAATGAAAAATGTAAAGCTGGGCACCAGTGACTCATGCTTGTAATCCTAACTATTCCGGAGGCTGAGATCTGAGGGTTGTGGTTCAATGGCAGCCTGCTCAGAAACGCCCATGAGACTCTTATCTCTCATTAACCAGCAAAAAGCCAGAAGTGGAGGTGTAGCTCAAGTAGTAGAGTGACAGGCTTGAGTGAAAAATCAACAGAAAAATCAGATTCCTATGGCTTACAACCCTAGCTGCTCAGGAGGCTGAGATCTGAGAATCACAGTTAGAAGTCAGCCTGGGCAGGAAAGTCATGAGATTCTTACCTCCAAATAACCACCAAAAAGCTGGAAGTAGAACTGTGGCTTAAATAGTATAGTGCTAGCCTTGAGCAGAAAAGCTCAAAGATAGCTTGCAGGCCCTAAGTTCAAACCCCAGGACTGGAATACACAAAGATACCCTTCAAAGGCCTGGACCAGTGACCTCCTTTCCCTAACTAGACCTCACACCTGTAAAGTAATCCATCTATGGATTGATTCGTCCACTGATAAACCTAGTGTTGTCATAACTCAGTCACTTCTCTCTAGCACCAGTCACTGAGGACCAAGACTTCCGTCCATCTGAGGAGGGACATTTCATTTCCAAACCATATCATGTCACAGAAAGTGACTAACAATCAGGATCTATCCCAGGCAGTGTGGTTCCAGCAACCAGGCCCTTCCTGTTACTTCCTTCTTCTTCCTGATCTCCCAACTAGCCAGGGATGGAAGCACAAGGATGTTAAGTGAGGTGATGGGGACAAAGGAGAAAAAGCAAATGAGGGCTGGGAAGGTGGCTCAGTGGTAGAGTGCTTGCCTAGCATGCATGAAGCCCTGGGTTCAATTCCTCAGTACCACCTAAACAGAAAAAACCAGAACTTGGGCTGTGGCTCAAGTGGTAAGAGTGCTAGCCTTGAGCAAAAAAAGCTCAGGGACAGACAGTGCCCAGGCCCTGAGTTCAAGCCCCAGGAGTGGCAAAAAGAAATAAAAATGATTGCGATGCCCAGAGGACCACTAAGACCCTAAGATCATCTTTTCTCCCCAGGACTCTGAGAACAGTGGGGACAGTGGATACCCCAGTGAGAAACGGGGTGAGCTAGATGATCTGGACCCCCGAGAACATGTAAGTATCCTCCAAGCAATAACAATGAGACCTCTGTGTCCTCATCTATGCCCTAGTAGAATAAAATACTAGAGGAGGATTGTGAGTGGATCCTTAGAACATAACAAATAGAATTAAATATCAAACAGGCTGGGCACTGGTGTCTCACACCTGTAATCCTAGCTACTCAGGATGCTGAGAGCTGAAGACCACAGTTTTAAGCCATCCTGGTTAGGAAAGTCTATGAGACTCTTTATCTCTAGTTAACTACAAAACAAAAAAAGCTGGAATGGAGCTGTGGCTCAAGTGACAGTGTGCTAGCCTTGAGCTTGAAAGCTCAGAGATAGCAGCCAGACCCTGAGTTCAAGCTCAAGAACTGGCACAAAAAAAGAAAACACAAATCAAACAAGATCATTTGAGCTCAGGGTAAATTCAAGGAATATGGTAAAGCAGAATCATGCGAATGAGAAAGGGGAAAAGTGTGAAGCTTAGGTATAAGACTGAAAATGGGCCTGGCGCTGGTGGCTCACGCCTGTCATCCTAGCTACTCAGGAGGCTGAGATCTGAGGATCGCGGTTCAAAGCCAGCCCGGGCAGGAGAGACCGTGAGACTCCTATCTCCAATAAACCACCAGAAAACCGGAAGTGGCGCTGTAGCTCAAGTGGTAGAGCACTCGCCTTGAGCTAAAGAGCTGAGGGACAGCGCCCAGGCCCAGAGTTCAAGCCCCACGACCGACAAAAAAAAAAAAAAAGACTGAAAATGGGATAAACCCAACCAGAAAGTTCAAGGCTTTGATTGCTGAGCAGAGAGGATGCTGGGTAACAGGCTGGATTGGGGCTGGACTGACTGTGCTTAAAGGCAGTGAAGCCTGGTAGATCTGGGAAGGCCCCAGGTGGGTTTCCTCAGGCCCCCACATAGTATCCTGGGTGAGGGCGGCGTCCATGGCATCAGCCTCTGGGACGTTTCACCATGTGCCACAGTGAAGCCTGTGTGTCACAGCCAGTTGCCAGTGCCTCGTCTGAGAATGAATACAAAGCACACAGGGAGACCTGTGCTGGAGGAAGGGCTGGGCACCATTTACTGGTGCTTTGTGCCTAGATCCTGTTCCTGGGGCCCATTCCTTCCATCTGGGAGCTCTGGGCTGGCTCCCAGAAGTTGGTTCTTGGGGCAAGATTTGCCCTTTGCTTCTGTCAATCTTCACTTCCTTGCAGGGCCACTCAAATGGCAACCGGAGGTTGGAATCTGATGAAGACAGCCTGGGCAGTTCAGGACGGGTAATACGCCCTTAGGAGCCTCTTGCAGATTCTCTTGCTTTTTCCCTCCTGCCACCTGCCCTGCTCATGTCCATTATGCAAAGGCACAAATTCCTTGAGGCCCTGTTCTGGGTAGGACACTGGGGATTAGAAGGAAGATTTAATACTTGGTCCTGGAGGGAATTGTATGAAAATGTATCTTTTCCTATTGAAGTATTTTGCTTCCCTTTTGTTAATCTTGAGAAAATGGTTTTCCTGAAGTTTCTGCTTTGGCCAGATGGCTTGGCCCTTTTTAATTACATTTTGGTTACATACAATCTTTTCCTGAGCAAATTAATTAAGACATTCTGTTAGAGGGTCCTTGAATTTTAGTTACATCCTGTAAATTAAGGGACATTCCTTTGCACACTGTGAACCTGACCTCAGCCAATGGGAGCAGAGGGGCGGGGCCTGCTGGGTTAGGGATAGAAAGGGAGCAACCTGTCTGCTCTGTGTGCTTGCTTGCCAATTTTGGTTGATGGTGCACCCTTCTGCAAAGGTAACCTGTGCCTTGCTGAGTTCCTTTTGAGTTAATGTTCTTATTCCTATTTGACACCCCAACATCCTGAGCTCTAATGAAATGACACTGACAGCTATAACTGATGTGTTAAGTTACTTTCTTTGTTGTTGTTTTTTTGCTGATCATGGGACTTGAACTCAGCCTGGGCACTGCACCTAAACTGTTTCACTTAAGGTTGACATTCTACCTCCAGTTCTGGCTTTTTGGGTGGTTAATTAGAGGCAAGAGTCTCACGGACTTTGCTTTCTGAGATGGCTTTGAACTGTGATCTTTGGATCTCAGCCTTTTTTTTTGTTGTTGTTGTTGGTTGTGGAGCTTGAACTCTGAGCCTGGGCGCTGTCCCTCAGCTCTACAGCTCAAGGCCAGCACTCTACCACCTGAGCCACAATGCTGCTTCCAGTTTTCTGGTGGTTTATTGGAGATAAGTGTCTCACAGACTTTCCTGCCTGGGCTGGCTTTGAACCATGATCCTCAGATCTCAGCCTCCTGAGTAGCTAGGATTACAGGTCTGAGCCACTGGTGCCTGGTTCGCAGCCTCTTAAGTAGTTAAGTCTGAGTCACTAGTTCCCAACTAAATTTTTTTAATGTTAGTATTGGGGCTTAGATTCAGGGCCTTGCATGAAAAAGCCACATCAGAGTTCAAGCCCCAGTACTGGTACGGAGAGAAAGAGAGAGAGCACAAGAAAGCTTGGTATCATAAAGGCTTGGTCTCTTTTCTTTCTTTCTTTCTTTCTTTCTTTCTTTCTTTCTTTCTTTCTTTCTTTCTTTCTTTCTTTCTTTCTCTCTTTCTTTCTGTTGTGGGGCTTGAACTCTGGGCCTGGGCGCTGGCGCTCAACTCTTCAGCTCAAGGCTAGCACTCTACCACTTGAGCCACAACACCTCTTTGGTTTTCTGGTGGTTTATGGAGTCTCACAGCCTTTTCTGACCAGGCTGGCTCTGAACTGTGATCCTCAGATCTCAGCCTCCTGAGTAGCTAGGATGATAGCCATGAGCCACCACGCCCAGCTGGGCTCATTTCTCTTCTTGCTTGCATGTTATAGGAGCTGCTGACAGCTGTGACTGCACTTCTGGCCCCAGCCCCTCCCTCTCTGTTTGTAAACTCTGCCCACTGGTCTTCCTCCAGGTCTGTGTGGAGACATGGAACCTCCTCAATCCCTCCCGCTGCCACCTGCCTAGGCCTTCAGCCGTGGCCCTGGAAATACAACGCCTTAACGCTCTGGAACTTGACAAGAAAATTGGAAAGTCTGTTTTGGGGAAGGTACCAATGATGCCTTGTTTTGTAACCTCCTTGATACTAAGCCAGAGCCCCAGCCTCATGTCTGTTCTTGGATAATTGCTTCCTCCTGCAGGCTGACTAGGTGGCCCTTGGGTGCGGCTTTGGCCTCCAGATGGCCAGGCCAACACCACAGTCTGTGTGGCAGGTCCATCTGGCCATGGTGCGCTACCACGAGGGCGGGCGTTTCTGTGAAAAGGACGAGGAGTGGGACCAAGAGTCAGCAGTCTTCCATCTGGAGCATGCAGCCGACCTGGGTGAGCTGGAGGCCATCGTGGCCCTGGGACTCATGTACTTGCAGCTGCCCCACCACGTTCTGGCAGATGTGTCTCTGAAGGTGAGGGTGCCACCATCTCCTCGGTACTCAAAACTAGTTGAAGTGTGCAGAATTGGTCTTTGTTTTGGGGGAGTGAGGGAGAGGGGACAGTCACACATTCAAGCAATAAATGACAGCGTGTGATGAAAGAGACAAAACACTGACGGAAGCATGAGGAAGGGTGTTGTCTGGGGTCCTCTTTTTCTTTTGTGCCAATACCGGGGCTTGAACCCAAGACCTTGGCTCTGTCTCTGAGCTTTTTCTGCTCAAGACTGGAGCTCTACCACTGGAGCCACAGCTCCACTTCCATTTTTGTGCTCCATATCTCCATAATTGGAGATAAGAATCTCACATAGCCAGGAGCTGGTGGCCCACGCCTGTAATCCTAGCTCCTCAGGAGGCTGAGATCTGAGGATCGCAGTTCAAAGCCAACCTGGAAAGGAAAGCCAGTGAGACTCTAATCTCCAGTAAACCACCAGAAAACCGAAAGTGGCATTGTGGCTCAAATGGTAGAGTGCTCACCTTAAGCTGAAGAGCTGAGTGTTAGTGCCCAGGCCCAGAGTTCAAGCCCCACGACCAAAAAAAAAAAAAAAAAAGAATCTCACAGACTTTACTGTCCAGGCTGCCTTCAAGCCATTATCCTCAGCTGAGTAGCCAGGGTTACAGGTGTGAGCCACCACCAGCACCTGGTCCTCTCTGGGACCTTGAGGGTAGATACAAGTTTGCACATCATTGCCTCCACCACAGTCTTATTGCTACCATATTCAGGGCACCAGGTCTAGGGCTAGAAACTTTTTAGTCTCATGAGAAAAATAATTTAGAAATGAGCAAAAAGAGTCTTAAGCAGGAACAGATTTATTAATGCAAAGCAGTGTATTGACACAGTGAAGCCATTATCTGTCCTTCCTTCTTCCCTCCTTCCCTCTTTCCCTCCCTCTATCCCTTTTCTCCTTCCTTCTTTCCTTCTTTATTTCTTTTTTCTTGGTAGTACTAGAATTTAGACTCAAGGCCTTGTACTTGGCTCAGTTGGAATTCTCTTTCTTGAGCCATGCTTCCAGTTCTACATTTCCCTGGCTATTTTAGCAATGGAGTCTCACAGATTTCTGCCCCAAATGACCATCCTTCAGATCTCAGACTCCTGAGTAACTAGGATTACAGGAGTGAGCCACTAGTGTCTGGCTGGGACTGTCATATTCAGGCTGCAAGGATCTGGGGTCAGAATAACCCTGCTGTATTGGCTGGGACTATCATATGCAGGCTGCAAGGATCTGGAGTTAGAATAACCCTGCTGTATGTCATAAGCCAATCCACTAAGGTCAGCAGGCCAGGCTGTGACTCCTTATCAGCACTGAAGGCACAGTTCTCAGCCCCGCCATTTCTTAACTCCTGTATCATTGGTAGCTAGAGCAGACCCTGTCACCTGGTAACTGTCTGCTCACTCAGAGAAGACCAAAAGGCCCGATGGAAGGGAGCCAAGGAGAGTGTTGGGGATGAGCAGTTCAGATAGAGAGAACAGCATGCACTCGAGCTCACAGGTGAGAAAAGATGACAGGGAGCCAGGCCAGGCACTGGTGGCTCATGCCTATAGTCCTAGCTACTTGGGCTGAGATCTGAGGATTGCAGTTTGAAGCTAGCCTGGACAGAAAAGTCTATGAGACTTTTCTCTCCAATAAACTGCTCAGAAAAAGCAGGGGCTGAAATGGTAGTACTCTAGCCTGGAGCAAAAGAAGCTCAGGGACAGAGCCCAGGCCCTCAATTCAAGCCCCAGAACCATCACCAAAAAGGGGGAAAAAAGAAAAGAGAGAGACTGGGAAACAACTTATTAGAACTAGAATACAGGGGTGAGATGGTGCAGGAATCGGGCTAAAGAACAGCCAGTATTAAATCTGAAGTAGCAGGATGAGCTAGACTCTGGTGGCTCACACCTATAATCTAGCTACTTGAGAAGCTAAGATCTGAGGATCAATGCTCAAAGCTAGCCTAGGCAGAAAAGTCTGAAATGCTTATCACCTGTTAACCACCAAAAAGCTGGAAGTGGAGCTGGGGCTCAAGTGATAGAGTGCTAACCCTTGAGTTAGGAAAGCTAAGCAACAACGTCCAAGCCCTGAACCCAACCCCTTATACCACACCAAAAAAGAAAAAAAGGCAGCAGGATGTAGTTGTGTTAGAAATCCTTGGGGATCTCCTTCTGCCTCCTAACACGGTTGCGCACAGAAGAGAAAGGCTGAGCGCACAGGAGTTGGTAAGACTTAGAGAATGCAGTCTTTCCATAGGAGAGGTTGAAGTGACCTTTGGGGTACACATGGGCCAGGGCTGTGGCTGGACATGAGACTGGGCAGGGATGGCTCAACATGGGCAGAGCAGTAGTCCTCCTCAAGGACTGGCCATGGCCAATGATTGGGTGGATCTCAGGTGGAGGGGGAACATTCTCAAGGCTCCATCTCCCATTCCTCCTTTTCTTTCTCTTCCTCTTCTTCTTCCTCCTTCTTTTTGTGATACTGGGGTTTGAACTCAAACTAGCAAGGGTTCTACCACTGAGTCACGCCTCCAGTTTCTTCTTTGCCCTGGTTGTTTTTGAGATGGGGTCTCCCTTCCTGCCCAGGTGTGCATCTAGACTTCAGTACTCCTATTCGTCACTTCCCAGCATAGCTAGGATGACAGAGGCACACCACTACAGCATTGCGAACTTTCCTGGCCAGAGCTGGCCCAGAACTGTGAACCTCTAGATCTCAGCCTCCTGTGTAGCTAGGATGACAGCTATTGGCTGGGAAGGGGATCTCATGCATCTCGTGTATGCCCAAGCTGGTCTCAAACCTTGGTCCTCCCCATGTCAGCTTCCCCAGAAGCTTAGATTACAGACGTACCTCTGGTGCTCATCCTAAGTTTTTTTTTATGTTTTTGAATAGGTGATAAAGTTGAGTGATTTAAATGTGTGTGTGTGTGTGTGTGTGTGTGTGTGTGTGTGAGAGAGAGAGAGAGAGAGAGAGAGAGAGAGAGAATGTGAATGAGTACCGGGGCTTGAATTCAAGGCTTTGTGCTCTTATTTGGCATTTTCATTCAAGACTCTCACTTTATAGCTACACCTCTACATCTGGAATTTTGCTGGTTAATTGGGGGTAAGAGTCTCACCGATTCTTCTGCCTGGTCTGGCTTTGAACCATGGTCCTCAGATCTCAGCCTCCTGAGTAGCCAGGATCACAAGCATGAGCCACTGGTGCCTGGATTTCAGGACCATTTATTCCCCAGCAAAAGCAAACTTGGACTGAATTCTAGGGCTCTCTGGTTCCCATTCTCAGTTGATCAGCCAGTTTAAGGGCTGCTTTTGTGTTGATGCTTCTTGACATAGACAAAAGGAGCCTTTTGTCTGTCAGGGGCCATCAAACAATTACAGATGGGCCATGTTTTTTCTTTAAGGCCATCCCACTCAGTTTGCTTGCTAAGTGAGAATAGATTGTGTGTCTTTGTTCCATTTGATATTTACCCTGCAAGCTTCAGTACTATAATACAACCAATGTAAGAAGAGTCTCCCCAGGGGCCCTGAGTAAGATGTCCAGAGGAATTAATATCAGTGTGATTGTTGAAGAGTGCCCTGCTGTGCCTTTGGGCTGTGGGCACATCCAAATAGAAGTGACGTTTTTTTGAGATTGCTAGTTTGCTTTCTACAATAGGAAGTGATTTTTCTGCCAATTTTGTATGTGTGTGTGTGTACGTGTATGTGTATGCATGTATGTGTGTGTGTGCCTGCCAGTCCTGGGACTTGAACTCTTGAGCTTTTTCACTCCATACTGACACTCTACCACTTGAACCATAACTCTACTTCCAGCTTTTTGATGGCTAGTTGGAGTTAAGTGTCTCACAAGCCAGGTGTCAGTGGCTCATACCTGTAATCCTAGCTACTCAGGAGGCTGAGATTTGAGGATCACCCAGGCAGGAAAGTCTGTGAGACTTTTTTTTTCCTCCCAGTTTTCTGGTAGTTAATTGGAGATAAGAGTCTTTGGTGGAGGGAGGGGAGGCTGGGAAGGTGACTTAGTGGTAGAGTGCTTGCCTTGCATATATGAGGCCCTGGGTTTGAGTCCTCAGCACCACATAAGCAGGAAAAGCTGGAAGTGGCGCTGTAGCTCAAGTGGTAGAGCGCTAGCCTTGAGCTGAAGAGCTGAGGGACAGTGCCCAGGCCCAGAGTTCAGGCCTAATGAACGACCCCACCCCCCAAAAAAACATCTTACAGGGAGTGGCACCATGGTTTAAGTGGTAGAGTGCTCTCCTTGAGCTGAAGAGCTCAGGGACAGCTCCCAGGCCCAGAATTCAAGCCCCACAACTGACCCCCCCACACACAAAAAAGGTCTATGAGACTTTATTGCCTGATCTCACCCTCCTAATTAGCTAGGATTATAGGTGTGAGCCACCAATGCCTGGTCATCTTATATATAATTGTTCCTGGGGTTTGAGCTTGGCCTGGGCACTGTCACCGAGATTGTTTTTCTCAAGGCTAGTACTCTACCACTTGAGCCAGACCACCACATCTGGCTTTTTCTAAGTAGTTTATTGGTGATAAGAGTCTCAAAGACTTCCCTGCCAGGGCTGGATTGGGCTGGCTTTGAACCCTGATCATCAGATCTTAGCTTCCTGAGTAGCAAGGATTACAGGTTTGAGCCACCAATATCCAGCTTTTCTGCTCTTGTATTAAGTATTTAACGAATGATTGTTTATTATTTACTTACTTATATATTTTTGGTGCTGGTCCCAGGGCTTGAACTAAGGGCCTAGACACTAGCCTTGAGCTTTTGTGCTCAAGGCTCACACTCATAACACTTGAGCCACAGCTCCACTTTCAGCTTTTTGGTGGTTAAAGAGTCTCATGGACTTTCTTTCCCAGGCTGGTTTCAAATGTGATCCTCAGATCTCAGCCTCTTAAGTAGCTAGGATTATAGGTATGTGCCCTGTATGACTTGTTTTCTAGAGTAGTTTTTGAAACTTGGCTGCCAACATTGGAGGGTAAGAGAGTATGGGTCTCTATTCTCTGAGTTCTATCTTGTTCTCCATTGCTTAAAGCTAACTTTGGAACCCATGTTGATGCTTGAGAGAGATAAAGTTTTCATCTGGGTACTGGAGGCTGACACCTGTAACCCTAGCTACTCAGGAGATCTGAGGATCGAGGTTTGAAGCTAGCCCAGGCAGGAAAGTCTGTGAGCTTCTTATGTCCAATTCACTAACAAAAAACAGGAAATGGAGCTGTGGCTCGAAGTGGTAGAATGCTAGCCATAAGCAAAACAGCTCAGGGACAGTACCCAGGCCCTGAGTTAAAGAAAAGAATCAAGTTTCCACTGTGTCTAAAAAATAAAATAAAAACTAGTCACTGGTGGCTCACATGTATAACTTAGCTACTGGGCAGACTGAAATAGGGAGGATCATGATCCAAGGCCAGCCAGGGCATACACTGGAAAGTCCTTCTGAACTAATAGCTGGGCATGGTGGCATAAACCTGTCATTTTTCTACATGGTAGTGTGAAATCAGGAGGATTGCAGTTCTAGTCCAGCTCAGGCAAAAAACAGCCACAAAACTATTTTAACAGAAGCTGGGTGATGTGGGATATTACAATGGGAAGCCTAAAGTAGGCTAATCACAGCCCAGGCACAAACCTAAGGGAAAAGGTGAGACCTTATCTCAAAAATAACCAGTGCAGAAAAGGGCTGAAGGTATGGTTTAATGCTAGAGCACCTACCTAGAAAGTGAGAGATCCTGAGTACAAATCCTAGTACTAAGAAACAGTTGTATAGAACCAGGCACCAATGGCTCATGCCTAGCATCCTCAGGAGGCTGAGATTTGAGAATCATGGTTCTAAGTCAGCCTGAGCAGGAAAGTCCATGAAACTCCTTATCTCCAATTATCCACCAAAAGTCAAAAGTGGAGGTGTGGCTCAAGTGGTAGAGTGCCAGCCATGAGTGAAAAAGATAAGCAAGGGTGCAAGGCCCAGAGTTCAAACCTCAGTACTGGCACAGAGGGGTGAGGGGAGGTAAATATAAAAAGACATATATGATTCTAGATACTTACTGATTTTTTTTTTTTTTTTGTCAGTGGTGGGTCTTGAATTCAGGGCCCTGGGCACTATCCCTGAGCTTTTTTGCTCAAGGCTAGTGGAGCTACGGCTTCACTTCGTTTGTAGGTGGTTTATTGGAGATGAGTCTCATGGACTTTTCTGCCCGGGTTGGCTTTGAACTACAATCCTCAGATCTCAACCTCCTGAGTAGCTAGGATTACAGGTGTGAGCCACTAGCATCTGGCCTTTTATTGATTTTTTTTTTGAGACAGGGTCTTGCCATGTAACCCAAACTAGCCTCCAACTCATGATTCTTCGGTCTCAGTCTCCGCAGTGCTGGGATTGCAAGTGTGTATCACCATGCTCAGTTGTGTGACTCCATTTATATGGAAACCATTGGAGACATAAAGTAGACTAATTATTGCCTAGGGTTGGGCAGAAGGGTGAGAACCAGCAAAGGGAGAGACAGTTAAAAAGGTATGGTATTTCTTCCTGGGTTGATGAAAATATTCTGCAACTGATTATGAGGATGGTTGCATAATTCCATCAATAGAAAAACCACTGGCATGAAATTCTCCTGTGGCTCCAAGCCCAGAACTCTCAGAATAATTAAAGAAATCGGAAGATGATGGATGAATGAGATCTTCATATTCAAGCCTCATGCCCCTCCTCCTTTGTTTGTATTGACAGGAGACAGAAGAAAATAAAATCAAAGGATTTGATTACTTACTGAAGGCTGCTGAAGCTGGTGACAGACAGTCCATGATCATAGTGGCACGAGCTTTTGACACTGGCCAGAATCTCAGCCCAGACAGGTACTGAGGCTGTCGCTCAGGTGGGGCCTCTGGGAACGGGGCTGCAGGTGGCTTCTTCCCCTTTAAGTCAGATCAGACCTGGGCCCAACACTTACCCACTGACCACGGGCCCATAATTCTCTCAGCACCCAGCACATAAAGCAGATGGCAGCCATTGTAGCCAGCATGAGAAAAAAACCTCATGCCCCAGGTTCAGAACGATTTGTCTCTATTGTCATAGGAGTAGGGGCAGTTTTAATAAATAGACTCTTCCTATTTTTGTTTTTCACTCTGTGTGTGTGTGTGTACCTGTACTAGGTGTGAACTCAGAGCCTGGGGACTGTTCTGAACTTTTTTACTTAAGGCTGGCCCTCTACCCCTTGGGCCACACCTCTATTTCCAACTTTTTGCTGGTTAATTGGAGGTAAGAGTTTCACACATTTTACTGCCCCATCTGGCTTCAAACCATAACCCTTATATCTCAGCCTCCTGATAGGATTACAGGTGTGAGCTTTTAGCTTTTAGCTTTGTTTTTCACTTTTTTTTTTGGGGTCCGGTTGTGGGTCCTGAACTCTGGGCCTGGGTGCTGTCCTTCAGCTCTTCAGCTCAAGGCTAGCACTCTACCACTTGAGCCACAGCGCCACTTCTGGCTTTTTTCTTTTTGCTTATGTGGTGCTCAGGAATCGAACCCAGGGCCCCATGCATGCAAGGCAAGCACTCTACCACTGAGCCACCTTCCCAGCCCCGGCTTTTTTTTTTTTTTTAAGCAGTTAATTGGAGATAAGAGTCTAACAGGGACTTTGCTGCCCAGGCTAGCTTTGAATCATGATCCCTAGATCTCAGCCTCTTGAGTAGTTAGGATTATAGGTGCAAGCCAATGAAGCCCAGGGTCAGTGGTTCTTTGAATTAATGAACTAGTGCATCTTAATGACTTAGATAAGGCAGATTTTTTGGGGGGGGGTCAGTCATGGGACTTGAACTCCAGGCCTGAGCACTGTCCCTTAGCTCTTCAGCTCAAGGCTAGCACTCTACCACTTGAGCCACAGTGCTACTTCTGGCTTATTTTTGTTGTTTATGTGGTGGTGAGGAATCGAACCCAGAGCCTCATGCATGTGAGGCAAGCAACTCTACCACTGAGCCACCTTCCCAAGCCCCAAGGCAGATTTTTTTTTTAGCTTATTTTTTTTGTGCCAGTACTGGGTCAGGAACTCAGGACATCATGCTTTATTTTTTTTTAACTCATGGCTGGTGTTCTACCACTTGAGCCATGCTTCCAGTTCAAGCTTTTTTTGCTGGTTAGTTGGAGATAAGAGTCTCTGGGCAAGATGCTGGTGGCTTCTTTCACCTTAGCTACTTAGGAGTCTGAGATCTGAGGATTGTAGTTTGAAGCCAGCCTGGACAGAAGAGTCCATGAGAATCTTATCTCCAATTAAACACCAAAAAGCTGGGAGGTGGAGCTGTGGCTTAAGTGCTAGAGTGCTGGCCTTGAGCACAAAAGCTTAGGGACAGTACCTAGGCCCTGAGTTCAAGCCCTAGGATGGGCACCAAATAAAATCTTCTTTAAGGCTCTGGAATTTGTCTGCCCATGCTGGCTTTGAACTTCAGTTCTCAGATCTTAGCCTCCTGAGTAGCTAGGATTACAGGTGTGGCTTTATTTCAGGATCTCCTTACAGTCCCACAGAAATTTTTGTGTGTATGTGCCAGCACTGGGACTTGAACTCAGAGCCTCATGCTCTTGCTTGGCCTTTTCACTTAAGGCTGGCATTCTGCCACTTGAGCCAAACTCCTGCTTCCAGATTTTTACTATTTAATTAGAGATAGGAGTCTCTTGGACTCTTTTGCCCAAGCTGACTTCAAACAATGATCCTCAGATCTAAGCTGCTTGATTAGCTAGGATTACAGGCATGAGCCACCAGTGCCCAGCTACTTTTGTTAAAGACAGCTACTTGACTGCCCTCGTGGATGTGTTGTGAAGAAGAGAGGGGATCTCCATCTTGCCACACTGCTAGATGATCCTCTTTACCTTCCCACCCGATGCTGTAGTAATGTCCTTTTTCCCCTCCGTTTCTCTTGACAAGGTGCCGAGACTGGCCCGAGGCTCTGCACTGGTACAGCACTGCCCTGGAGACGACAGACTGCGATGAGGGCGGGGAGTATGATGGGATGCAGCACGAGCCCCGGTACGCGCTGCTGGCCAGGGAGGCTGAGATGCTGTACTGTGGCGGCTTCCAGCTGGAGAAGGACATGCAGAGGTCAGGTAAGACAGAAGCACTGTATTCTCACAAGGACCAGGCTATCTCTTCACCCACAGGGGTCTTTATGGAACTACATTGTACATGAATGTTTTATTTGTTGTGCCAGAACTGAGGTGTCAATTTAGGGCCTCATGCCCCGATTTTTTTTTTACACTGATTTTTTTTTCCCCCTCAAAACATATTTACCTCTCTTCTCAGTATATCTTTGAAAAATACAGAACACTTCACGAATTTGCACTTTACCCTTGCCCAGGGACCATGTTAATCTTCTCTGTATCATTCCAATTTTAGTATATGTGCTGCTGAAGTGAGCGCCTGATTGATTGATTTTTTTTCTTAAAGCTGGTACTATCCCACTTGAGCCATGCCTCCAGCTTAGCATTTTTGTGAGTTAACTGGAGATGGATTCTCTTGGACTTTTATGCTTAGGCTGGCTTCAAACCATGCAATCCTCAGATTTCAGCATCCTGAATAGCTAAGATTATAGGAATGAGCCACTAGAGAGAGCCTTGCTGAACATATTTATTTATCTTGTTATTTTGTCTATTTATTGTTTTGGTCCTGGGGCTTGAACTCAGGGCCTAGTCACTGTCCCTGAGCTTTTTTGCTCAAGGCTAGTGTTCTACCACTTGAGCCACAGCTCCACTTTTGTCTTTTTTGAAAGTTAATTGGAGATAAGAGTCTCATGGACTTTCTTGCTCTGGCTAGTTTTGAACCACAGTCCTGGCTAGCCAACCAGATCTTAGCCTCTTGAGTAGCTAGGATTACAGTTATGTACCACTAATTTGAATATTTTATTTTAATGGTTATACATTCAGTGCTCTTCAGGTTCTGTAGCTGTGGATTCACCCAACCACACAGGAATAGGATGACACTAATTTGAAGAGATTTATTAAAGTTGTATAAAAAAGTAGCAAATAATAACTCAGTTTTTTGAGTCAATTTTATTTTACTGTAAGGAGAGTGACAGTTATACAAGTAAGGTAATGAGTACATTTCTTGTTGATTTAGCCCCTCCCTTGTTTTCTCCTACTTTCCCCTCCCCCCCTTTTTTGCCCATCTTGGGGTTTGGACTCAGGGCCAGGGTGCCTTCTCTGAGCTTTTTTATGCTCCCCTTCTAGCTTTTTGGTGATTAACTGACAATAAGAGCCTCATGGGAGTTCAAGCCCCACAACTGACAACCTCCCTTCCCAAGCTGGGTTTAAACCTTGATCCTCAGTTCTCAATCTCCTGAATAACAGTGTCCAGCAGAAAGTGTGTGTGTGTGTGTGTGCGCGCGCACGCACGCTCGTGTGCATGCATGTGCCAGTGATGGGGCTTGAACTCTGGACCTGGGTACCCTTCCTTCCTCCCTCCCTCCCTCCCTTCCTTTTTTTTTTTGGTGAGTCGTGGGGCTTGAACTCTGGGCTTCGGTGCTGTCCCTGAGCTCTTCAGCTCAAGGCTAGTGCTCTACCACTTGAGCCACAGTGCCACTTCTGGTTTTCTAATGGTTTATTGAAAATAAGAGTCTCACGGACTTTCCTGCCCAGGCTAGCTTTGAACCTGGATCCTCAGATCTCAGCCTCCTGAATAGCTAGGATTACAGGCGAGAGCTACCGGCGCCAGGCCCTGGGTACTGTTTCTTAGCTTTACTCAAGGCTAGTGCTCTACCATTAGCACCCCTGTCCACTTCTACCTTTCTGTTGGTTAATTGGAGGTAAAAGTCTCACAAACTTTGCTATTAGGGCTCAAACTTGATTTTTATATCATAGCCTCTTGAGTAGTTAGGATTATAAGTAGAAGCCATCAGCATCTGGCTTAGCTGTAATTTCTTTTTTTTTTTTTTGGGTCCGGTCGTGGGGCCTGAACTCTGGGCCTGGGCATTGTCCCTCAGCTCTTCAGCTCAAGGCTAGCACTCTACCACTTGAGCCACAGCGCCACTTCCGGCTTTTTTTTCTTTTTGATTATGTGGTGCTGAGGAATCGAACCCAGGGTCTCAGGCATGCAAGGCAAGCGCTCTACCACTGAGCCGCCTTCCCAGCCCCTTAGCTGTAATTTCTTATTTGAAGTTTCTAAACCCAAAATGCTCTAAAAGCAGAAAGTATTAAGCATTTTTATTTGGTGGCAAAACATGAAATCAGAATCTCTTTTTTTTTTCTGTCTTGGGGCTTGAACTCGGGGCCTGAGCACTGTCCCTGAGCTTCTCTGTGCACAAGGCAAGCACTCTACCACTTGAGCCACAGTGCCACTTCCAGGTTTTTCTGTGTATGTGGTGCTGAGGAATCGAACCTAGGGCTTCATGCAGCTAGGCAAGCACTCTGCTTATAAGCCACATTCCCAGCCCCAGATTCTTTATTTTTTTTTGTTTTTTGCGTTTTTTTTTGGTCGTGGGGCTTGAAGTCTGGGCTTGAGCACTGTCCCTACGCTCTTCAGCTCAAGGCTAATGCTCTATCCCTTGAGCCACAGCACCACTTCCAGTTTTCTAGTGATTTATTGGAGATGAGAGTCTCACTTTCCTGCCCGGGCTGGCTTTGAACTGTGATCCTCAGATCTCAGCCTCCTGAGCCACCAGCACTCAGCCAGAATCTTTATTATACTCTGCTACACTCATTCTACAAAAAGTTCTTCGCCTAATTCCCATTGCCTCAAACTGAATCACCCACCCACCTCTAAACCAATCACTGTGGTTATTGAGATAGTTTACTCTGATTGGTTCTACATAAGCATAGACCAGCACTCTGATCTAGTGGAGATGGGAAGAGCACTTTGATTGGCCAGGTTTAATCACCGGACAGGAGATTCACACCCCTTGAGAGATCACAGGGATTCGTTTGGGACTTAAGACTTGGGAGGGAAGTAGGCTGGTGTATACTGTGGTTGGTTTAACTCTGTACCCCACTTTGCTGTCTTTTAGGGGACTTGTACACTCAGGCGGCTGAGGCAGCAATGGAAGCCATGAAGGGCCGGCTAGCCAACCAGTACTATGAGAAGGCAGAAGAAGCCTGGGCTCAGATGGAGGAGTAACTTGCCAGGAAAAGTCACTGCCAGCTAGTTCTAAACAAAAGGGCTGGGGGTGGGGTGGGGTAGGGACCGGGTGGGGAATCTTATTTGGTTTAGGAGGGGAAAGTCTTTTATAGGGTGCTGTAAATCAACTTTTGTATATTTTTTTTTTTTGATGTTTGAACCATGTCTTTGCTATTAGCAGAGATACTCTTAACTGTCCCTTAGGACCACGTTCTGGGGGAGTGGGGATTGAAATGCAGCCTAATGACCCAATATATTGTTATAAAGTTCTGTTTTGGTTCTTTTTTTTTTTTTTTTGTCATGGGGTGTAAGAAGTGCTTGTCTGCTTTGAATGGATAAGGGCTTTCCTCGCCAGCCTTTTCAGGCTAGATTCAAATCTCAGGCCCCCAGAGCCTTGTGTTCAGTGAATGAGGATGGGCGATTGGAGAGACCCCAAATGAACTTTGCCTGGGAAGTGTTGCGAGCAGAGCCTTCTTGCTCTGAGCATCTGGAAGTGTGCATGGCATTTCTCACTGAGAAGCTCAGTGTGAGATTCTTCAAATCTGGGCTGCCTTCCTCAGGGAGGCAGAACCCACATTGACTGTTGTCAGATCTTTGTGTTTTTAATTTCCTCCTAGTCTGCTCCCAGTTTCCTGGCAGACTGCCAGATTTCAATTCTTATGCACGTTTTCTAACATAGGTTTTATATTATTTATATTTGCTTTTTGTACACTCGCATTTATGACCTCTACCTCTTAAATCAGCTGGGATGGAGAGAGGGTGAGCCTGAAAGCTTTCCTTTATAAGGAAAGTGACTTGGAGGGCTGGGAAGGTGGCTGAGTGGTAGAGTGCTTGCCTTGCATGCATGAGGCCCTGGGTTTAAGTCCTCAGCACCACATAAGTAGAAAAAGCCAGAAGTGGTACTGTGTCTCAAATGGTAGAGTGCTAGCCTTGAGCTGAGGGATAGAGCCTAGGCCCAGAGTTCAGGCCCCACAACTGAAAAAAAAAAGGAAAGTGACTTGGAATTTGAATTCTATCTCATTGACAACCACCACAATGTGATTGAAGGTTCCACAATGTTACAGCCTCTTTCTACAGGGCTCTGACACCCCCTGGCTGAAAAGCCATTCCCTACCCCTCACATTGGCATTTTCTGCTTAAAGCTGAGCTGATTTGCTTGTCATTTGCAGTCAGTTGCTTTCAGTAGCAGTCCCTTGAGACTTATTTTAATGTTTGAGGATCAGAGGGTGAAAACAGTAAACACGCATGCAGCAGTCTCCCCAGGGCCAGGCTCTGACGACCTTTATTTAAAAAGAGTTCGGATTTAATGTTAGTTGGGTGTCTCAACTTGACAAGAAAAGAGCCTGCTTTGATCAAGCTTGACTGCTAGAGCAGCCTCTTCCTTTGTGTAAAAAGTCAAACACAAAAAAAGCAAAGTGTAACATCCAACACACAAAAAAGCAAAGTGTAACATCCAAGCCATTCTAACCTTCATGTAAAACAGGTCCTTTGGCCTGGAACTGGTGACTCATGCCTGTAATCCTAGCCACTCAGGAGGCCGAGATCTGAGGATCCTCGTTCAAAACCAGACTGGGCAGAAAAGTCCGTGAGACTCTTACCTACCTCCAATTAACCACCGGAAGTGGCACTGTGGCTCAAGTGGTGGAGTGCTAGCCTTGATCTGAAGAGCTCAGGGACAGCGCCAAGGCCCAGAGTTCAAGCCCCACAACACACACACACACACACACCACCAGGTCCTAAGCCCCACAACACACACACACACACACCACCAGGTCCTAAGCCCCACAACACACACACACACACACACAGGTCCTTGGGCTGGGAATGTGGCTTAATGGTAGAGTGCTTGTCTTAGCATTAGGTGCTAAAGTCTACAATACAGTCTTCCAGGAGACATCATAGTCTCATTTGCTGTTGTTGAGTTCCAGTGGCTCACATTTATAATCCTAGCTACTAAGGAGGCTAAGATTTAAGGGATCATGGTTGGCAGCCAGTCTAGCCAGTTTTCCAGTGAAAGCTAAAACTGGAAATATGGCTCAAGTGATAGAGTGCCAGCTGGAATGGTGAGAGTATAAGGCCTTGAATTCAAGCCTCAGTACCTGTATAAATAAAAAACGGATTACCCCAGGGAAAAATATCCTTCAGTCCACCCAGAAATGACTATCCCTATTGTTTGTGTATGGACATTTCTCTTTAGAAATGGGGCTTCCTCAGATTAATAGTTGGCTTGCATGTAGTCTTTGTTTTAAACCAGTGCACATCATTAATAAGCCTATGTTAAATGTAAGAAGCGACATACCCTGCAAGGTCACCAAACATCTTAAACATCTTATACTTTATGATTTTTGTTCCTGTTTATTCAGCCACCCTCCTGTCTTCCTGAGCTTTAATATGCTCCTTGAGATTTTAATATGCAAATAGCTTTGCTAGCCATCTCATGTCTCAGTTCTATGTCATCTATTCTCCAGCAGAATTAGGCAAGGTTTTTGGTAAAGGGTTAATTGGACAGATTTGAGGCTTCTAGTCCTTTAGTCTCAGTCTTGCTGTTGTGCAAAACCAGTCATGAAGCTGGACACTTGTGGTTGATTTTGTAATCTTAGCTACTCTAGAGACTAAGATTGTAGTTCAAAACCAGCTCAAGGGGCTGGGAAGGTGGCTCAGTGGTAGAGCGCTTGCCTTGCATGCATGAGGCCCCGGGTTCCATTCCTTAGCACCACATAAGAAAAAAGAAAAAAGCTGGAAGTGGCGCTGTGGATCAAGTGGTAGAGTGCTAGCCTTGAGCTGAAGAGCTGAGGGACAGCGCCCAGGCCCAGAGTTCAGGCCCCACGACCGGACCCAAAAAAAAAAAAACAAAAACAAGAAACCAACAGATAAAAAAACCCAGCAAAAGTCAAAAAAGTGGAGAAGACTCTTATCTGAAATTAAGCAGTATAAAGCCAGAAGTGACGGTGTTGCTCAGGTGCTGCAGCACCAGCCTTGAACACAAAAGCTGAGACAGTTCAAGTCCCAGTATCAGCAACCCCTCTCCTCCCCCCCCCAAAAAAGTGCTGAAGATATCACCACTAGCAATGCATATAAACATATGCAGGCTTTCTGGTAACACTTAAGAACTGGTCAGATAAAATCTTGCAGAGCCAAGACGCACAAACTATCTTTCTTGCTGCTTTAGTACTTGTGTTTTCTTCATTCTTGAACATCTGTCTGCATTGTTGGACATGTTTTATAAGTTAACAAATGTTTACACACGTATCTGCAGCTTAGGGGTTAGAAACAAATTCTCTGCCTGGATTTTGTGTCTGTCTTTCCCTGAGTGAGTTGGACCCAGAGAAGTAGCTTATGTTTCAGATTTCTTTTTACATGTTTACTAAGTTCCATTTCATCTTTCCAAATAAAATGGTTCCTCTTCTATCTCAAATTCAACTGTCAACTGGTTAAAAACAAAACCAAGCTGGGTATAATCCTCATTACTCAGGAGAGAGATCTGAGGTTGGTGTTTCTAAGCCAGTTGGTTCAGGAAAGTCCTAAGACTGCAATTAACCACCACCAAAAAAAGTCCGAAGTGGAGCTGTGGCTCAAGTGGTAAAGTGCTAGTCTTCAGGAAAAAAAAAACAACAACTCAGGAACAGTGCCCAGGCTATCAATGCAATCCCCATGATTGGCACCAAATAAATCAGTAAATGAGTGAGTAAATTATCTGGCTACAGGCTGTTCAGTAAAGGAGGCAGCCACCATTCACCCTCAAATGCTTCTCACTACCAACTCTTCACAAGCTACTGAAAATTGTTTTTTTTTTATGCAGTGTCTCCTGATTTTTTTAAACATTTGTAAAAAAAAAAAGTTAATAAATGCTTTCACATTTGTTCTCTATGTTGTTGTTTGCTTTAGATAAAATATATAACCCTGCCTTTTCTCAAGTCTTTTCATCTATAAAACAAAGAATATAGTACAGGATTGTCATCAGCTTCAGAGAAGATAATATACGCATTAAGTTCCTTTTTATCTAAAGCTTAAGAAAATCTTAGCGGCTAGGCACTGGTGGCTTATACCTGTAATCCTAGCAAATCAGGAGGCTGAAATCTGAGGATCACCATTCAGAGCCAGTCCAGGCAGGAAATTCTGAGAGGTTCACCTCCAATTACCACCAAAAAGCCAAGTGGTACAACACCAGCCAGCCTTGAATGAAGAAGCCCAGTGAGAATGTGAGGTCTTAGGTTCAAGCCCTGCTACTGGTCCAAAATAGCCAATAAATAAACAAATCTGTGATCATCTAGTTTCAGGTAACTTAATTTGTGTAACTATTGGTTAAATTCAGTGTGTACGTATAAAGCCTTCTTGCTCCTAACCCCTCAATACAGTGACAGAAGAGGTATTCAGTGGCACCAATCCATGAGGATGAAGAATCAATAGCAAAATTTTGGATACCCAGAATTAGACAGGCTGCCCAGAATCAGTGACCTAAGAAAGCCAAATATTAGGTCAACAGTGGAGAAAGCTAAGAAATAATCGGATTTCACTGTCAGAAAAGCCCCACAAGGCTAAAGAATTGGCATAGAAAACTGGGGAATAAAATGGGGTGAAAAATGGAGGATTGCATCTCATGGTCTTCCACAAACGTAGTTTTTATCAGTTAAAACTAATATTGAATTAAGCCTACTCTGGAGGCTAAGATCAAGGTTTAAAAATCACCCTGGTGCTGGGAATGTGGCCTAATGGTAGAGTGCTTGCCTACCTAGCATTCATGAAGCCCTGGGTTCGATTCCTCAGTACCACATAAACAGAAAAACCAGAAGTGTCGCAGTGGTTCAAGTGGTACTGTACTAAACTTCAGGAAAAAAAAGCCCAGGGACAGTGCCCAGGCCCTGAGTTGAAGCCCCAGAACTGGCAAAAAAAAAAAAAAAAAAACCACCCTGGGCAGTAAAGACTTATCACCAATTAGCAAATACTGGAAGTGGAGGTATAGCTCAAGTAGTAGCTTGCCAGCCTTGAGGGAAAATGCTAAGGAAAAGCACCTTGCCCTGGAGTTCTAGCCCCAGTAGCCATGTTATAAACTCAGAATAAGAAGTAATGCCTGACAAAGGAAAATCTTAACCGATTATCACGGTGTTTCCAGTGGGTCTAGATACCATTTGTCTTACCCACCCAAAATCCTTTGTCTGGGGTTGGGAATGTGGCTTAGTGGTAGAGTGCTTCCCTACCATGCATGAAGCTCTGGGTTCTATTCCTCAGTACCACATAAACAGAAAAAAGCTGGAAGTGGTGCTATGGCTTAAGTGGTAGAGCACTAGCCTTGAGCAAAAGAAGTTCAGGGACAGTGCCCAAGCCCTGAGTTCAAGCCCCAAGGCCAACACACACACACATACACGTATCAGATTTTCCCAGAACAATGAAATATTTTCAAATTATGATAGGTGTTAAAAGATTGATGGAAAATAAAACCAGATTGAGAAAGGGATTCAGAAGAAGGAGAAACATGGAATGCTCAATGCTAGGCCTGTATGACCAGTTATGAGCCACAGCTTGGACTGTGGCCCTGTAATGTGTAATGAGTGTTAATATAAAACCATAACTATCCCCCTTTTTTTTTTCTTTTGTGACAGTACTGGGGGTTAAACTCAGGGCCTGGATGCTGTCTCTTAGCTTTTCTGCTCAAGTCTAGTGTTCTACCACTTGAGCCACAGTTCTGCCACTGTTTTTCTGGTAAATAATTGAAGGTAATTGTCCTGGGCCGGTTACCAACTGTGATTTTCAAATCTCAACCTCCTGCGTAGGATTAAAGGCATGAGCCATCAGTGCCTGCCTGCTTCTGGAAGTGGAGCTGTGGCTAATATAGTAGAGCACTAGCCTTGAGCAAAGTAGCTCAGGAACTGTGCCCAGGCCCTGAGTTCAAGCCCCAGGACCCACACAAAAATAGATTAAATCAATAGCTAAACCAGGCTCCAGTGGCTCATGCCTGTAATCCTAGCTACTCAGGAGGCAGAGGATGGCAGCTCAAAGCCCAAGTGAGACTCTTCTCCAATAAACTACTTAGAAAGAACTGGAAATGGCACTATGGCTCAAAGAGTAGAGCAGTAGCCTTGAGCACAAAGCTCAGGAACAGCACCCAGGCCCAGAGTGAAAGCCCCACAACTTGCAAAAAAAAATAAAAGAAATAGACAACACCAAGAGTGATTAAGAGCAAAGATAGATACTTAGAATAACTTTTGAGTCAGACCCTGCCTTAATATAGCCCTGATACCAAGCTCAGTGTGTCTCCCTTTGAGTATCCACATTCAGTCTGTGGGAGCGTGCCTCTCTCTCCGTTTGCCTGCTTGCTTACTCCATAAAGTTCTGCCAAGTTTGTGACTTGTCCAGAAATTCTTCATCAAAGTCAAGGACCCTCAGTGAAGAGTCTCTACTTCTAGAAGAAAACTTCACAAACCCTAATCTGGACTCAGTAACAATTCCAAGTGACGAAACTAAAGTTGTTTTTTCCTTGTCTGTTTTACAGTCTTTAAAAATGCATATATGACCATCTATATGCTCGATTATATGGGCTGTGTATACATTGTGTGCATATACATATTAACATGCCTATATATATTTAAAAGTAAAATCTTGGGGAAAAAATCACCCAGCCAGTTGCATATCTACATTAATAGACGCTTATTAAACACTCCATACACAACTATTTTCTATGGAAAAATATATAACTAGATCTCCATGCTATATACATATATAATGTTTGTGTTTATATGTTAATATACATGCATGTAAATATCTACACGTGTATAATACACACATGTGTATATAGGTAAATATATTCGTGTCTGTGCTTAGACCTTGGCAGCAAAGCTGTGGAAGGACTTACATTCAACTGATAGTGACATCTCCTGCGGAGAGGGAAAGGGATCTGTACCTTCCATGAACAGTTTCGATGCAGTCCGTGGGTAACTTCCGCAGTGAGCACCGGTGTCCGGCCGGCTGCCAGGTCCGAGCCCCGGGCCCGTCACGGCCAGTCATCCTCCCCCGAGTCGCCCAGCTCGGCCCTGCGGGTGATCCAGCGCCAAGTGCAGCTGTTCCCTCTAACAGCCATTTGGAGCCACCCTGGATCTCAGTATGGCAGCCCATACTGAATTGCGTCTACATATCACATAGCGAATTCCGCCGGGATCCGGTGAAACGCAGATGGAGAAGTGAAATGCTTACAAAACCATTAAGTAGGATCCTAGAAAGCTTGGTCCCCGCCAGGGTAGCGTGGCCGAGCGGTCTAAGGCGCTGGATTAAGGCTCCAGTCTCTTCGGGGGCGTGGGTTCGAATCCCACCGCTGCCAGGTTGGCTCCTTTTGGTCTCGGCTGCCTCGAGGCCGCTGCCTTTTGCCTCGGCACGAGCGCCCCCTGCCGTGGCGTCTGTCTGGAAGCTACCGAGGAAGTCGGCGAGGGGGCGGGTCCGCGTGCGCCGGGGCGGGGCATTGTGGGTAAGAGGAAGCGCGAGGGCCGGCCCGCTCCCCCCCACGTGTCCGCCGGAGTTTCTCCACCAGCAACATGGCCGCTCCCTGAGAGGAGATTCCGGCCGCCGCCACCTCTGCAGCCGCGGGGACCTGGGCCGTTGTCGCCGTCCGCGCGCGGCCCGGGCTG